GCGTAATGCTAGCGTTGGATCTGAAGACTTCTGGCGAATTGCCAAATCGCGGCGACTGAAATCGCGTGAAGTATGCCCGGGCCTGAACAGTAGAAATGGTTTGTCAAAAAATATAACCAACCACGAGAAGCTGAATGTGCAAATGAGAAAGAGGAAACAAACAAGTATAGCAGAAGCTAACAATAAGATGATTGGAGAGAACAATTGGAACAAAAGAAGCGAATACGACTCTAGAATCTCCGGCAACCTGAATGGTGTTACGTACATGTCACGAGTTGGTTTTATGTCTTATACACACCAAAAGCTTAGCATGTCTACAAAACCTAATATTTATATATATATTTATTTATTTATTTATTTATTTATTCGATACGCTCTTGGCGTTCCTTACAAAAAGAACAGAAAGAACAGTTACTCATACAACCGCAATCAAAGTCTACCAAGAAGATTGGGTCCAAACTTTCAAACTGATTAAGAATTGTATGTTAACTAAGCTTGTATGTGACTGCTCTAGATTACAGTTGTCAGAATTTAAAGATGTGATCATGGAGATGGTACCCATGCCCCCAAATGTACCCAAATATCTGACTAAAGCAAGCGTACCAAACATTTGTACAAATCTTGCGCTAGCTAATTGCCTTCATATTTTGGAAAATTCTATTTGCGCTACTGTCATTGGTGTCTTCCAAGGCTATTCAGTAATGTAAAGTCTAAAAATAACAATTTGAATTCATCTCCACCTTCCATACTTTATTGTTCCCTTTCTGGGTTGCTAACTTATAACTATCTCTGTATCACTCCAGTAGTCAGCAGTAATCCAACAGTGTTCGCTGATCGCATACTCTCATGCATTTAAAGCAAGTAGTTATGAGGTTTTCAGTGTTTGCGTCGCACACAGACAATTTTCACTTTTTCTAAAATCAAAGCGATTCCCAAGCATGTGCTAAATGCGCGCTTACTTTTTTCCTATTTACGAGCACTGATTCGCGTCATCGTAGATGCGGCAATCCCGCGACAAAAAGAGGACGCACAATTTCCCATATATTAGGTCGTTTCAAAAGTAATTTCGCTTTTTTCAAACGGGCACCACATTTGACGGAACAAAGGTTTTTAAGAGTTCTTAGAAGCATTCTATCCAGAATTTCATTCTCTTTCTAATGGTTATGAAATTGTTGCAAAACATCCAATGAGCTTTCAGAAAATATCCAAAATCTGCGACCCATGCTTTTTGAGATGGTCAAGTTCCAAATTTTTTTAAAACTTTCGTATCAATCCTCAGAAGGAGTTCAAGTAACGATTCGATACAGTAAACCTTATAGAATACAGCACTGCTTTTTTCTCTTTTTTCTAGCCCGCAGGAATTTTTTAAAAGATTTTTCAACAAAACTATCGAATTTTGGCAGGCCTACGTCAGCCACAATCGCATCAAACAACGGTAATTATTCGGAATTTGAAACTTCCAAGATAGTATATGACTTAATATTGATTTTACATTGCAAATGAGTGCTTACGGACTCAAAATATCAAATTTCGAGTTTTTCGGGTACAGCCTGGGGCTCGCTAAAAAATTGGGTTATGATGATTTCTCCCCTGTTAACTAAACGAATCGGAAACAAAAAAACACCTGTTAGAAAGTGGAGTAAATGCTGCATCGAATAGTGCGCGAGCTGCTCTTCTTTTGATGTTCCACAAGGATTTAGCTGCCCAAGTATGGAAATCGATAACATCAGTTAAAATTCTGTTAAAAGACAAGCTATGGAATGGAGAAAAAAGTAGTATTGTATTCTATAAGGTTTACTCTATCGAATCGTTACTTGAACTCCTTCTGAGGATCGATATGAAAGTTTTAGAAACTTGTGAAACTTGACCATCTCAAAAAGCATGTCTCGCAGATTTTGGATATTTTCTGAAAGCCCATTGACTGTTTTGCAACAATTTCATGACCGTTAGAAAGAGAATGAAATTCTGGATCGAATGCTTCCAAGAACTCTTGAAAACCTTTGTTCCGTCAAATGTGGTGCTCGTTTGAAAAAAGCGAAATTACTTTGAAACGACCTAATACTTTTGTTCTGAACTTCGCGAAAAACTCTAGCTTCGCGCACAATATTCTTCTCAGATTGTCAGAAGTAGCCTGACTATTACACTAAATAAGATTTTCAAGTTAGGTGAGACTCGAAGTATTACTGCTCACTTTTGACGATTTGTAATATGTTATAGAAACAGAATTTTGGATGAATTTTTTTCACGAAATAATGAAAACTAGCTGATAGGTTTGTTTAAGAAGATAAATGGTGCGAGAAAACTTGAAATTCTCATTATTTTTTAACAGAATTTTGGAATACAAATTGCTCATTATTTTTCTTGCAAAATTTTGGAATTTAGACTTTACGAAATGTTACATGAGGAAAAAGGCTGCTGGAATAATGACAGAGAACGTTGAAAACTTGTTTTCTCGGAGGCAATGTTTCGGCAGACTTTCGTTTCCACATTTTCTGCACGTTTCAGGCCTTCCCGACCCGTCGGAGCCGAATATGAGGTTAGACCGGGTGAAAATGCGGTTGTCGGAGCGTTTATGCAATTCTTGAAAGGAAGCTCGGGCGAGAGTTGAAATAAAATCAAGGTCACGAAAAACTCGCCTGTAGATTTTGTACTAGATAGCATGAGGGATGGGGGAGCGGTCGTGGGGTCCCGCGCCCAAAGCCCCGCGCATACCTCACTCGATCAGTCGCCACGCGATCTGGCAAGTTGCCAGATGTCTTTAAATTCGATACCGGCAGACCCCAAATGCACAGTATGTATATCTCGTAGCTTGATAAAATGCCCATCTTCGTACATTCAGAAATCCCTTACGATTAGTTATGAACAACTGGAGTATTGCCCAATCGCGTAGCAAGTGAAATTGCATAAGGTATGCGCAGATCCTAACAGGGAAGCGAAGCCGTCCGAGCGGGCGCCGATTCGAGGGTTGTTTGCTCGGCGCAGGGGTAACATTATCCAGCCGGACTGTGCCTGGAGGTTAACGGGGTGGCAAGAAATCCTCTACAGCTGTACGCTGTGTCCCAGGGCACGAACCTGCCGAAACACTGACTTCAACGTTAGAAACTATCAAAACTTCAGCCGTTTTTATTCTACAGGGATCTTTGAATGATCACCCATCTGAGCTCATCTACCAGCTTTAGATCTCTTCATTCGCTTGTTCGTATCCATCCGTACCTTGTGTGCAGGTGTCTTAATGAACAGTTTCACAATGGAATCTTGTTATCCTTCAAAACAAATTATTCTCGAGATCAGGTCAGCTAGCTTTTACCGGGGGGCTGTCTGGCACCCAAAAACGGGTTACTCATGAGTTTTGAGTGTGCGAGATTCCTGAGATGTTTACTGGCATAGCACACTTTTCTTTTTCTTTCTTTTTTGTCAGAGGTCTAGAGCTTCGTGTCTTTTATCTACCTCTTATTTTATTCTACTTTTGCCTTGAGGATGAGGACTGGTGGCCTCGTGTCTCCTTTTGGTTTTTCTCTTTGGTGTGCTTCCTCTTCGATGCACCTTGTGTGTACTTATAAACAAATAAATAAATGAACTAATTTGTAAAGGCTCACACAGTCTTTCTTACAAAGAAAAGAGGATTCAGGCAATTAATAGTGGAAAAGAGTTCCGCTGCAAAAAAACTTTATTTTTCGTTTAAACAATTACTATGGTCCACGGTGCGAATATATTAGGTTGGTCCGAAAGTTCTGTCCCACCATTTTCAAAAAATCGTAACTTCTTCCTGACACAATGTTTTTGCAAGAGTAAAACCATATTAGAAAGAGCAATTCATGTACTTTTCAAAACTGGGTTGGATGCTATTCATTAAGCCCTGGATGCAGAGATAAAATTGGGGAAAGTAAATCACTTCAAGTTCGGAATTTTTAAGCAAGCCCGTTGAAAAATCCAAAAGTGTGCCATAAAATCCAAAACAGCCAGTATCCTAGGTTTTTTGATCTTTTCTTTCCATCCGAGCAAAATTTGCGCTGATCGAGCTCTTTTGAAAGAAGTTATGATTTTCAAGAAAAAATGCCAAAAAATCAGTCTCTTAAGAAAATTGATTTTTCGACTTTTTTTTTCAAAAAATCATAACTTTTAAAGTAACAGTTCGATCAGCGCGAATTTTGCTCGGCTGGAAAGAGGGGAGTCAAAAAGTCTAGGACAGTGGCTGTCTTGGATTTTATGGCACTGTTTTGGATTTTTTAACGGGCTTGCTTAAAAATTCCGAAATTGAAATAAATTCCTTTCCCCAGTTTTATCTCTGCATTCAGAGCTTAATGAATAGCAGCCAACCCAGTTTTAGAAATTACATGAATTGCTCTTTCTAATATGGTTTTACTCTTGCAAAAACATTGTATTAGAAAAAAGTTGCGATTTTTTGAAAATGATGGGACAGAACTTTCGGACCAACCTAATATATTGAAAAAATGGGAGACCTTAAACGATAGTTTGAGTTTTTTTTTACTCTAAAGCCAGCCATTCTACCAATTTCAACTTATTTCAAATATTAAATTCCATTCCGAATTAAAAAGATAAGATCGTAAAGCAAGTGGCCTCGAGAAAATTGTCGCCTTGTTATGCTTTTATGGTCAGGCAAAATCGCAAATGCGAATTTGATTGAGAATTGCTCTTCAAAATTTATGATTTGCTTTTATAGCGCAATTACCTGAAACCGCATACTTATATGAAAGCAAACACTCAATCCTGTTACGTACGCACTTTGCTTGCATTCTCTGGTGTTTCCTACAAAGCATACAATTAAGTTGAGGTAAGTGATTTTTAGGACATAAGTTCCACTTTGGTAACCACAATCTCATAAGCAGCCATACGTGGCCGAGCGCGTATGAAAACTCTTCATTATGTTTTTCGATTGAGAGAAAAAGTCTAGAATTCTCATGCAGAACCAGTTGAGTATAGAGTAGGCGCTCATAAAAGGAGTGTGGAATGAGCAGCCGCAGCTCACACACTCTCGCAGTATGGGAGTGGAGAAGGCGGTGATGGCGGTGGCCTCGGCTGGTGCCATACTGGCTATGGCAGCTTGTCTGATCGCTATTCCAAGACTGTACGAGGAGATCAACGAGATCCATAATATGGTAAGTCCTTAAAAATTCTACATCAATCCAAATTTTCCTCCGTCTCAGGTCCTCGATGGTGTGGCTGTTTTCCGTGAGGAAACGGATTCTGCCTGGATAGAAATGATGGATGTACAGCTGGCAATTGCGCCAGACTCTAGACGTCCCGAAAATCCGTTTGACTCCATATTCCGGCGCAAAAGACAACCTCTTCCGCCGTGGTGTGTTTGCGAGCTCACGCCGGTCACTTGCCCTCCAGGACCTCCGGGACCTCCGGGACCACCGGGATTGCCAGGTTGGGTTTGAAACTTATTACTTTTATGGTTGTGATGACTGAATTATCTTTTTAGGAAACCCCGGAATGCCTGGACCGCCAGGACGAGACGACACGACAGTCTATCAACCCATTCATTGCCCACCTCCAGACCCCACCTGCATCAAGTGTCCTCCAGGACCTATGGGACCTCCTGGACCAACGGGCCCACCAGGCCCACCCGGCCAAATGGGCCGACCTGGTGAGCCAGGACGAAAAGGCAATAATGGCATACCTGGCCCACAAGGTCCACCTGGCAATGCTGGCCCAGCTGGCCCACGTGGACCATCAGGAATGCCGGGTCCAAAAGGTCAAGACGGCAGACGAGGCAAAGGTGCACCCGGACCAACCGGGCCAATGGGTCCTCCAGGACCACAAGGCAAGCCTGGCCCCCGTGGTCAGGATGGTATGCCCGGATCTCCGGGTCGTCCTGGTCCCGCTGGGCAGAGGGGACAACCCGGAATGCGAGGAAACGATGGCCACCCGGGAACACCGGGAATGCGTGGACGTCCGGGTAAAGACGCTCAATACTGTCCTTGCCCTAATAGAAGTTCGTTTGTGTCACGTCCATCACCTGCGGCACCGACTTATTCGAGACCATCGGCAGCAGTGAGTGCATCTGCTACGGGATATGCGAAGAAAGTAGCGAGGAGGGTCAAGAAGAAGGTGAGGAAGTCTGTGAAGAAGCAGTAAAATCATTCTTGGGTGATTTGCAAAGGACTTTTGATTTTGGTTTTAATCTCGATTGTAAGAGAGACTGCTCTTATTTAAGTCTTTATTGTGTCACATATGTTTCGTCATATTTATATAAATAAATATGATTGATAAATAAATACAACACATTTTACAATCGCTACTACCCTATCAACACTACAATACACTATTTTCGACACGGGCAATACTTCCCATCCGGGCCGGGACCACCAGCTTTTCCAGGAGTACCCGGCATTCCATCAACTCCATCTCGCCCGGGTGTTCCACTTTGCCCAATCTGTCCTATGGGTCCCTGCTTACCGGGTTCACCATCCTTACCCCTCTCGCCTGCCTTTCCAATAAAACCTGTGCGCCCTATGACACCCTGCTTTCCAGGCTGACCTTTGCCCATTCGTCCGTCTTGACCTTGCGGTCCTGGTCGCCCAGGTAAACCATTTTGCCCAGGGATTCCTGGTTCTCCCGGAGGTCCTACAACTCCGGGGCGACCTTCTTCTCCTCGCATTCCTGGTGATCCGCGTTGTCCAGCAGGTCCTGCCTGACCGGGTTCACCTGTGGCACCAGGTGGTCCCACAGGACCTGAGGGGCATCTGATGCAGGAGCTGCTTGGAGCAGGACAATGGATTGGAGCGTAGATGATTGTAGAATCCAGGCCGGGTGGGCCGGGAATTCCAGGTTCCCCTAAAAATATCGCTTATGCACTTTACTGCTGCAGTAGAAATATAATATTTATACCTTTTGACCCACTTGCTCCCGGAGGTCCAGGTGGACCAGGAGGGCATACGAGTCTTATTGGTTTGCAAATGCACCACGGGGGTAAAGCCCCCCGCTTCGGGCGAAAAATTGAATCCAAAGTGCGTCGTCTACTATGTGAATATGATGCAGATTCTAGAAGCATCTGAACCTCCATAAGATCATTCCATGCCATATCGGTTTGTGCGCGAAATTCGGAAATGCCATCGTGGACCTCAAAAAAAATCCCTAAAATCATAAAGGGGCCAAGAATTGCTTAGACCTACCATATCAGAAATATCATTGATTTCTCTAAAAAGTGCAGGAATAGTAGAAATATAGACGATCATAACCGAAATTGCAGTTGACGAAGCAGCAGCCGTAAGGAGCAGCTCCACACTGATCATCTCCATCTGTCCAGAATCCATAACGAGCTCCTTTTATAGAAGTGGAAGCTATGCATTCAGTTGCAAAGTGACTTTGGCAACTTTGCAGCTAATGGACAGACAAAGAAATCTGCAAGATAGAGATAAAGGGCTAGTTAGACCCATTTAACCTGATCACTTAGGTCAAGCCCTTGGCTATTTGAGGCATCAAAGGGTTGGAGATGGGCTTTGATTGAAGAAAGTAATGAAAATGTACATATTTAACATTCCAGCTCAGTTATTTGAGTATAACTTTGGAACCAAAAATTTATTCTTCTTCTCGCAAATGTTCGGAAAATTCTAAATTACACGGATATTTCGTTCAAAAAATCAATTTCGATTTGGAAAACATGTAATCACAACTACTGCAAATACACGGGTAGATTGGATTTTGATCACACTTTTATTCTGATTTCAATTGTTTTTTTTATTTTAATTATTCGTAAAGGTCGAACATCAAAACTGCTCCAATATTATTCTCCGTAACTTATCACATTGATCTCACATTTTGAATTTTTGTTGACTAAATAGTTTGCTGTGAAATAAAATATAAATTGAAATTTTCTAATCTTATATATAAAGCTGAATGTCTGTTTGTATGTCTGTATGTCTGTCTGTCTGTATGTCTGTCTGTACGTATGTTCCGAATAGAAAATTCCATTTCTGAACCGATCCGGACCAAACTTGGCACACATACACTTCGGGCCCCGGCGGGTGTCGTGGGCTACTTTTCGTCATCGATCGGCATCGATTTTATCGATTTTTTTGCAGAGTTCACCTACGGGGCTGAGAGTTGGCACAGAGGGTAATCGAGCATGGGGATTCCGAATACAATATTAGTTTTCAGGATTATCGATTACTTTTATCGATCTTATCGATTTTTTAAGTCTGAGCTACGGGGCTGGGAGTTTGCACAGGGGGGTAACCGAGCATGGGAATTCAATACAATATTGTTTTCAGGATTATCAATTACTTTTATCGATTTTATCGATTTTTTTTGCAAAGTTTGACCCACGGGGCTGGGAGTTTGCACAGTGGGGTAATCGAGCATGCCGATTACGAGTTCGATATTAGTTTTTGGTATTCTATTAATTTATCGATTTTATAGATTTTTTGCAAAGTTTGAGCTACAGGACTGGGAGTTGGCACAAAGGGGTAAGTGGGCATGCTGATTTCGAAAACAACACAGGGATCGGGAAATGAAGTGTGGAAGTGAGCACAGGGAAAGGCTTTACAGGGATAGGGATGGCAACTTTATTACAGTGTTTTAACAGTTCCGAGCGGAGCCGGGTAAGCAAGCTAGTGCTTTATAAAAGTTTGAGGAAATCATGAAGCTGTCAAAGGTTGTCACTCAAACTGTTGTCAAAAAAAAGGGGGAATAATGAAATTTTAGATATTCAAAAAACAAGACAAATGATGTTTTTACAATTTTTTTACTACGAATGCAATACCATGTCCGTATAAATTTTTGCTTCAAGCACTTCTGGAAAGTTCATAGTTTTTCTTTACTGGAAAATATCAAAATGGAAGGACTTGTTGAATACAGAAGAGATTGTAATTTCAAATAACTCCAGTAAGATCTCTAAAAAAAACTGATCATCCACTGGAATTTCTCCATATTCTCACTCTCTCCATACTCTTACTTTTCTTGGGCTTTCTAGGTTTTTTTTGTACTTTCGCACTCTTCATAATCGAAACCTCTAACAAAATGTACTCACATTGAGCAACTCTCTTTCAAAACCTGAAACCATCTTTTTGCCGTTAAAGAGGTCACACATGCAAATTACTTTTTGCTACTTAGTAAGTATGAAATGCAGACTCCCATGAAGCTATTGATCGCAAATGCTTTTTCTTGATAAACTCTTCATTTTTAAGCACTACTAGGCAAGTAGGTTGTAAAGTACTAATGTGCTTGAGAGTATTGTGTGCGAAGGACGACGAGGTCATAATATCCGGGAAAATTGTGGAAAATATGAAAGCGATAAGACGGAGGAAAGAAGTTGAAATTGTGGAAAGGGAGTAGTTCGTAGAGAACTCGACAAAAAGGTAAGTAACAGCATACAGTGCTGGCCAAAATTATAGGTCTACTCAAAAAAATGCCATAACTCACTCTGTTATGAATGAAATTTTCCAAAATTTGGTACAGATGTGTGTTTACCAGCCTACTATCAGTCTTTAAAACGGTTCTCGTTTTCGTTTGATTATTCAAGAAAAAATTAGAAATTTTGAAAAAGGCAGGCTTGAAGGCTGGCCAAAATTATAGGTCCACCTGGAGTTTTTACTAATTAAAGCACTTCTTAGCTCCCGAATTTTTTTAGGTAGACACACATCTAAAAACGTTAAACAGCTACATTGGTCAAGCTGTGTCATACCTCCACAAAGGACGGATTATCTGCTTTTTTGCCTTGAAGATGCACTCACATGTATTTCGCACCACAAACCTGCGTTGAGTAAGAAATTTTGCAGTTTCTCAGTTGGATCGGAAGGGATGGGGTTTCGTCTATCTTCTGGATGCTTTTTGAGGTGAGCATTGAGGAAAAAATCCGACTTTTGCTGCTGAAGCAAATCTGACATTGACAGTATTGCAATCCTGGGCTCAAATTTCTGCCTTCAAACTTCTTTTACAATGTTCTCAGAAGCATTGAGTAAAGTAAAGGCATTGTTTCTAGGAAGGGGAGTCCGTATACCATAGTTACAACTTTCTAGAGATCCTAGCATTCGAGTATAATTACTGAAATCACTCTTCAGAAACTGATTACGACAAGCACCAAAGCTACTTGTGGCTCCGACCAAAATTTTCAAAAGAATCATGTGCTAACATACACTACAAGCTGTATCCACTATCTAGTAAATAATTACTGTCAAAAATCTAAGTGAGGTAGCACTTGGAAAGCTATTTTGGATCGCGTAACACCATTATTACGTTGCACACACAACTCATGTTTCGAAAAAGAAGCAAGGCAGCTTTGTGGACACTTGTGAGTATGGCGAATAGCTTTATTCTTGTGTAAAAAATGCTTCTACAATATCTTGAGGTTATAATGACAATGCATAAAAGGTTAGGGCAGAAACTGAGGCTTACTCTGCCGATTAAGCCGATGTCAGATTTGCTTCAGCAGCAAAAAAGTCAGATTTTTTCCTCAATGCTCACGTCAAAAAGCATCCAGAAGATAGATGAAATCCCGTCCCTTCCGATCCAGCTGAGAAACTGCAGAATTTCTTACTCAACGCAGGTTTGTGGAGCGAAATACATGTGAGTGCATCTTCAAGGCAAAAAAGCAGATAATCAGTTCTTTTTGGAGGTATGACACAGCTTGACCATGCAGCTGTTTAACGTTTTTGGATGTGTGCCTACCTAAAAAAATTCGGGAGCTAAGAAGTGCTTTAATCAGTAAAAACTCCAGGTGGACCTATAATTTTGGCCAGCCTTCAAGCCTGCTTTTTTCAAAATTTCTAGTTTTTTCTTGAATAATCGAACGAAAACGAGAACCGTTTTGAAGACTGATAGTAGGCTGGTAAACACACGTCTTTACCAAATTTTGGAAAATTTCATTTATAACAGAGTGAGTTATGGCATTTTTTAGAGTGGACCTATAATTTTGGCCAGCACTGTATTATTCGAGCTGTTTGAAGAGGGAATGGCAGAGAAGGCTACTATGGATTTTTTAAAAGTGAGAATAAACGGATTTCCAAACAGTTATGAGCATAAGAGTGAACAAATTTGCAATTATGAAATAAATATGAAGTACACGGCATGAAATAGTAGATCTTTAAGCTCATAAGCTCAGATCATCAACAGTTATGGGTATAAGAATGAATAAATTTCAAATTTTCAGAAGTACAATATGAAAACGACATAAAATAGTAAGATCTGTGCCAAGCTCAATGATGTGTCATCTAGAACACGTAGTTCAAAATAATATTTTTCATTGCCAAAAACTTGGACCTAATTGTGCCAATACCAATACTCTCTTCTCTCCTTCTCCTCCTCCCCCCCCCCCCCATCATAATGTGTATTCCAAAAATGTGTTACGCTCTCTGATAGTTAAAAACGCTCTCACCTCAATATTATCTGTGAATTTTTATACCATCTTGTAGGGCTGGCACCAGCTTGAATTTGACATGAAAAAGGTCCTCTACATAGGTACTCTAATTACTGTAGGACTACTGTATACTTCAAAAAGGTTCTCGAGCCATTTCCGTTTAGATTTTGACCCCAAAAAAGCTGTAGAATGTTGAATGCTCTGCCGCTGGGGGAGCAAAAATGGTTCTATCAATTTTTTGAATTTTCCCGTGCTTCAGCATTCAAAGTTTACTGTAGATATACTGTAACAGGTGTATCTGATGTTAAAAAATGGTTTTGTCAAGCAATCTTGCAAAATCGCACAATATTTCTTTTTAAGCTGGGGGTCTATAAATTCCTTGATGTTTTTGGATTCAAAAGGTTTTGAGATGGCACTTAGAACAAGACGATAACGTTTGGGAATCCTACCTTAATCCTACAGTAACAAGATGCAATCCACGATCTTTTTCTACCGCCTATGTTGAAACTAATAATTGGCAACTTGTATCTGAGATTATAAGTTTGGACATCGCTGTTATCATCACCTACCTCCCCCACCCCCCTTTCCTTCCAGTGTTTATCGTAAAGATGGACATTTCCGCTTACTCTTCTATTCCTTTCCCCCCCCCCCCACCTCCCCTAATTCTTCCACGAAATCTTGCCCCAAACCGCTTTGTCTAACCATGCTATGCGAATCTCGCGCAGACTTAATCACTATGACCGATTTCTTATCACATCAGACATGTTTCCTCCCGGCGTCGTTCCCAAATATCGATTGACAAAAGTGCAATGACTGTGATTCTGATCGATAATCACTCACTTGTCCATTTCTTCTTCTTCATCCACTAATGCTCAATTCCCATGTTGTGGTCACTTTTTGATTAATGGCTTCCGCTATAGGTTCTGAGCGGAACTAACTTAAATTTATGCACTTCGTTTCTTGATACGCATAAGCTATCTAGATGAATCACGAACCAGTTCTGACTGAAAAATGAAATTTATGTGACTGCGAGTTCTTCTTTTACAACATTTTAGTGCGATGAAAGCAATGCGGTAGTTACGGAGTAATTTTGAATGAAAGTTCAGTTTGAGATGCTAATTCTTGAAAGCATCGTTATTTTGCTATAATGCGCAGAGTGCTGGGGATTTTGTGAATACGGAGATATCTTGTGTAAAAGTGAAGAAAGCTGAATATGGAGAAATTTTGATGCCAGGAATACTTCTCCAATTGCTTTCAAAAACTGTAATTTTTATTCGAACAAAATTTTCCGGCTAAGATTTTGTGATGCTCTGTTACCTGTGATTTCTAAATAGATGCGAAATGGTATTACAATCGCTGGAATTTCATTGTTTCTGAAAGTGAATTGTCCCTCCTTATAGTTTTTTCCGTCAACAATTTGTCTTCCTTTTGAAACTGGAAATCTCAAAGATGCTTGAAAAAACAGATGCAAGTGGGAATTTTCCGTAAAAATTTTATTACCATTGAAAATATTTTGTACTATTATTGCGTACGAGAGGATACATGCGAAATTTGAATGCGAGCCACAATTCTTTTACTGCCTCTGAAATTATAAAATATACTTTTTCAAAGTTCTCACTCTAAAATTTTGTCGTGCTTTTGTAACTGCAATTTCTACTGTCAAAAGTACGAAGTGAAAGATACTAAACAAAAGCTTTTTTCACAAAAAATTTTTATTTTGCTCCTGAAACGGAAACTTCTACAACTTCTATTTACAAGGAAACAGATAAGGAATAAAATTATTTTCCGCTAATCATTTGCTCTGGTTCTGGCTGTAATTACTATTTTTTTTATGATTCCGATTCTAAAATGCTTTTGGGATATATTTCCGATACTATTACTCAAAACACGATGATAACTTTCTTATCAAAATATCATTAATCTTAAATGTAATTCCTACTTCCTTAATGTTTTTCTCGACATTTTGTGCTCCTAAACGGAATGAAAAATATACAGAATGTCGTGCTTTCAAAACCATAATTATTTCCATTTTTCTCATTGATTATTTTTACAGGCTAAAAACTACTCTATGAACATTCTGTAGTGTAGCGATGTACTAATACGTCAGCATAGCGTAGTCTAGTTTGCTCTCTGATATAGCGTACAGATAGCGATTGTCAGGCGGAACAAGTAAAAGATTAAGTAATCATCAATTACGCTGAAAGTTTTCAGCATTTTTTGTTTCGATAAATTTATAGGTTTACACGTGGACTTCAGAATTTTGTATTAAAGACGGGTAATGACATTCCCCTCCTCCTCTCACCTCACCCTTCACTCATGCACAATTGTCTGTATTTATAAAATAACATGTTTTCTCATTTTTTCATCTTTCCGTCTGGGAACAGAGGAGTTTTGATGTCCCGCCATAGTATATGTTACATGAGGGTATAGCTTTCTCAGATAAGTTTTGCGGTTTTGCACTTTTCAATAAAATTGAAACCGTACCTTTATTTGATAAAGCTTAGCTTTGCAGAAGCAAAGATTATGGATCTAACTTTTTTGTCTGATTTGTCAGGCTGTTTCAAAAAATAGGACCGTTAGAGTATTCCTTTGGGACTAAAATTTTGAAACTTTGTGGGTACAAAGAATTTTACATGCTACTTAACTTATGTATTAGATCTAGATATCACTGCAAGGTTGAAACCTGGCCATCTCATCCGACTATTACTATGATATCTCTGAATATATTCAGATAGATACTTTTTACGAAAGAAAAAAGAATCTATCTGAATATTTATTTCATTATTTGATCAGATCAAAATTGGAAACTGTATGTTCTTCTGCTTGTTTTTCACACTCCCGTTTTTCAATTCCTTTCCATTTTCTCATTTCTAAGCCATTTCAGTATAACAAATATGCTATGGATTATTGGCAGTTCTTTCTCATAATTGAAAAAAGTCCATTTTTCTAGAATGGGTAACCCTCTCGTTCAAGCTGGAGACAATCCAGACATCATAAAAGAGAGACAAGCTGGCACTTTTGATGTTCGAAAAATGTCCAGTTTTCTCTACGGTGGAGAGGAATATTTGCAGGTATCGGAGTATGAGACTTTTTTCGATTTTCGGCCACAATGGACTCAATTTTTCAGAGAAGAGCCGAAATCTTGTCATTTGTGAAGTCAAAGCCAGAGTTTCGCGATCCAATTCCAGTAGAGTTTATGACTCGAGAAGAACGAGTAGACAATGCTGCAAAAAAGGTAAGCGATTTATCATTGACTCTGACGTTTTTTATATTTCTTCACTTTCTCTCTTCAAGATTGTGGCAATGACTGAAAATCTCGAAGAAATTGATGCCTCCGACTTTTTCGGCGAAGGAATGTACTTCCAGTCGTAAGTAACTTCACCTCGAACTCCAAAAAATCCCCTAAATTGGTAATTTTTCAGTCTAATCATGGGACGTGACCTCCATCCACTCTCATTGCACTTTGTTATGTTTATTCCAACAATACAAGGACAAGCAAACGATGATCAGATCGATGAATGGCTGTCATTAGCAATTACCAGAGGCATTATTGGCACATATGCTCAGACGGAACTTGGACATGGTTGGTTCCTGAGTGGGTCCCAAAACGCACTGGAAAGCTTCTTACAGGGACGAACCTCAAAAATCTGGAGACAACGGCCACTTATGATCCTAAAACCGAAGAATTCGTCATAAATTCTCCGACCATCACCTCTGCAAAGTCAGCGTTTGCTTTTACGTCCAATCTTATTTGTTTGTTTTTCAAAATCTAATTTAGGTGGTGGCCCGGTGCTCTAGGAAAATCGTCGAACTATGCAGTTGTGGTGGCTCAGCTGTACACACAAGGAGTTTGCCGAGGACCACATCCGTTCATAGTGCAACTGAGAGATTTAGAGACGCATATGCCCTTGAAAGGTAATGAGATAATGGTTTTCGTAGACCAGTGATTTTGGCAGAATTGCAACACCTTCCTCTCCATACTCCATGTAAAAAATCAGGGAAATTTTATACGATTTAGCAAAAGCTGTGATGCAAAAATTTAGGGAAAACGAAATTTTCTTCCACTATAAAAACATGTAGCTTTCATATGGAAAAGATTAGTGGCTGAGGCTGAAAAGCTGCAACTTTCTTCATTTGTAAGCATATTAAGTAGCACTGCTAAAGTTTTTTCCCCTTCTTTAGAAGATTGTGCACTATATTTGGAAAAATTTATTATCAGTTTTGCGCTATTTTGATAATTCTCGATAGTTTTTTGCATCTTCGGACCCAATTTATAGTCTAGCATGTACGATTGAACATGCAAGAGGAATAACTTCAAAGTTTGGATAAAGGAGGGGAGGCGCAGAAGCATAGCGGCGCTAAGCAAATTTCAAAAATCTTTGGCTGATGTTTTTAGGAGTTCGAGTTGGCGATATAGGACCAAAATTCGGCTTCAACTCCAGTGACAATGGGTTCCTCCTTTTCAACAATTACCGGATTCCTCGGAAGAACATGCTGATGCGATATTCAAAGGTCTTAATTATCTACTGGAGCCGACCAACATTAAACAACTTTTTAGGTCAAAAAAGACGGAACATTCGTAGCACCAAAGCATTCAAAGTTAGGTTATGGCACTATGGTGTTTGTGAGATCCATTATGATCAAGGATCAAGCTACTCAACTCGCTGCAGCTGCTTGTATTGCTACAAGATATTCGACTATTAGAAGACAAGGAGAAATTGGACAACAATAAGTGGAGAAATTAGGCAGCGTCCAGATGTGCTGTGCATGCTTTGTGCCACAGCCGTTCCATCACAGTGGTAGCGCAGTGCCACCGCCGTTCCAGCGCCGTGCCGGAGATCACATGGATGCGCCCCGTACTAATCGATCGGCATCCTGGCATGCGCAGCACGGCTTTAGACGCAGCCTTAGTTATTTAAAGTTGCATCTACTAATTTTTTAGGTCCGGAGAAGTGCAAATTCTCGATTACCAAACTCAACAATTTCGATTATTTCCGCAACTAGCAAGAGCCTTTGCATTTATGTTTGCAGCTTACGAGATCCGCGATCTCTATATGAAGGTAAGAACCAGAGAGAATTCTTCGTAACTAAACCGAAAAGCTCTAGGTGACAGAGCAGCTTACTTACGGAAACACCGAACTCTTACCAGAAATTCATGCTTTATCCTCGGGGTTGAAGTCAGTAGTCTCATGGGAATGTGCTCAGGTAAGCCGATATCCCTTTTTTATGATTAAATTCTACTAAATCTATTTAGGGCATCGAACAATGTCGTTTGGCTTGTGGAGGTCATGGATACTCCTTGGCATCAGCTTTCCCAGAAATTTATGCTTATTCAGTTGGTGGATGCACCTACGAAGGTGAAAATATTGTAATGTTGCTACAGGTTGCCAGGTAGGGTTTACGGTATATCAGGCTTGAGCACCCCCTAAAAATTACCTTCAGATTCTTAATGAAAGCTGCCGAAGAAGTTCGACGTGGTAGCGCCCGCCTGGCAGCTATTTGTGACTATATTGGTAAACAAGGTTCCAAACATTCTTCCCTGAAAACATGGGATAGGTACTCTGATGAAGAAATAATACACGATTTTGAGCATGTAGCAAGAAACCAGGTGAGTTTTCAATCAGCTCTTTACCTTAATTTAAGCAAAAAATCTGTAAGATGACATTTTTAGGTATTCCGAGCTTACGATGCTCTAAAACGACATCAGCGAGAATCTACATTAGAAGAAGGCTGGAATCGTGCTTCTATAGAATTATGCAAGGCTTCAAGGGTAGGACCTGATTTACCTAATGAAGCCATAAAATCGTACATATGTAATTTATGCGCCGCAACTTGGAGTTTGCCCCGCCCCAACTCAAAGGGCGGAGCTTGCTGCAAAGTGCGGCACAGTTACTAGCACTACCCTTGATTATCAATATCCAGATGCATGTGCGCCTATACCTGGTCCGTAATTTCCTTCAAAAAGTCGCCACTGCCCCAGATGCATCAATCAGAGCACCATTAACTGATCTCACAAGACTCTATGCATTTGATTTGATAGCAGCGAGTCAAGGAGAATTTTTGAGGGTGAGAAGAAAATTTCTCCAAAAGTCAACGAAAACTTCAAGAAAAAAAAAACTAATTTAGGACGGATTTATGTCAGAAGCACAGGCAGATGCAGTCAGGGAGGGCATTTACAAAAGTTTGGAGCGATTGCGACCAAATGCTGTGTCATTAGTGGATAGCTGGGACTTTGACGACATCGAATTACATTCAGTAAGTCGGACATTTCCTTTGTTTGTTGATTCTACGTAGCTTGTTTATTTGAGGTCCTGGGACGACGAGATGGAAATGTGTATCCAGCATTACTGGAATGGGCACAAAGGAATCCATTAAACAAAACAGAGGTGAGACTGCATTCACAGTTTGTTCCAACTGCAGTGTCCTTTTGCGCGCGGCTAGCATGCGCAGCGCGTGGGCCATGCGTTAGCGTGCTGCGTATCGATTAAGACAAAGTCCGGTCAAAGCAAACTCTCGCGAACATCCCGCATGATACGCGACGCGGTTGTTTGGAGGTGGACACCACAATTGAGACATACTATATATGAAGTCACAAAGGGTCAATTTCTGTTTTGTTTAGGTACTACCAACATTCGAAAAATACCTCGGACCAATGATGAAAGACGGGCGATCAAAGTTATAGATGACATTTGATGTATAGGCTGCTGCATAACGAAGGCGCATTATCTTTGGGCGCGAACGCGGCTTTATTAGCCGCAGAGCGCATGAAGCGCAAGATTTACAAACGTGAGGATACATGCGCGTCGCGTCGCGCCCGCTCAACTAATATCGCTTCAGCGCCTTTGTCATGCAGTAGCTTTTAACACTCAATTTTTGAACTGTTCTTTAAGCCGAACCTCCATAGATTGTGATCGTAAAATCTGGTAGATATTTTTACGTTTAACATTTGCGTTTGTTGTGTAAATCACCTCTTCAACTAGCTTTATCCAAAAAATTTTTATTACTACCTCTGCTTCATACCAAACGACATTAAAGTACATATGTATAAGAAAGAATTTTTCCATATTTTTCGCACATCCCTATGCTTGTTCCCTTGAATATCTACCACGCCTTGTCGGAGTGAAATCTTCGAATGACACGTTCTTGAGATTCTCACGCTGAATAAAACTCCATCATACGATTGACTGACATTTTATTATACTTACATGGTAGACTACGCGATGCTTTGGCTCTACTATATTCAACACTTCCGGTTCCTCCTTACTCGGATGATCTGGGAAGTTTTTCTTGCGAAATTGTCTCAAACTTCTCTCGTGGAGTTCGCGTAAGGATAATTCTGGAATGCGATATTTGCAAAAGAGTAAACGACAGTATAGAAATGATAGTCAATCAAACAAAGGATGGTTGTAAACAACACAAGAGATATGTACAATAGAGGTTCATTTACCACATTTACAAGCAGCCTAATGTCACTCTACAATAAAAACAATTCGTTGCACAATTTTATAACTCATGTAGACCACATTCAAATCTCACCGCACCTTTCTTTGGTCCCTAGCGGGTAGCGACATCTTCTATAAAAGATATGGAAACCTACCGTTCAAATTGACCATGCTGCGCACTGTGTTTCCGAAAATAATCTCTTTTGTAAAACACAAAGCATCCCTCCTTTTCAACACTTTGAGATGTTCCACCGGATCCAAAATGATCCTGAATATCAAAATCATTTTTATTTGATATTTTCTATTTATTATCATATTTTTCTAAAAAAAAGAAGCGTTCATAGTGCTCACTCGATATCGGGCATGGGCACAAGTTTGAGTCTATGCTCGAGTACTTCTATAATAACACCAGCATTCATAACTAATTCATCATCGGTGATATCCTAAAACGTCACACAGATACCCATAGTTTTTCCAATGAATGTTCACTTACATTTGGTTCCGGATTCCACCAAAATGGCATATTATTTACAAACAAATTGTTGTTGTTTGTCTTATTGGTTTTGATCAGGGGCATTCTGCTATAAGATAGTCTTGGCACAACCCCCTCTCTCATCTTCTCTGCTGCTCTAGCGTATGTGTCGTGGGCTACTTCACCTGACTCGGGAGCAAAGTGCTAAAAATTAGCTTGCAATGTTTGCAAAAAGATTTGACCTACTCACATCTTCAAATGACATCTTCTTCTTCTTCTCGGCTCTCTCTTCATCTGACGCGTAGGCAAGTGGGAAGATGATTTCGTCAGCGGTCAAGCTCTCCTAAATATCACTTTAAATTATTTGTCTTTGCTCTATGCAGGGCTGATTACATAAGTCTAAATCGTTGAAATTTTTTCTATATCTCTATATTCCTTTTAAATCTCTACCAGTGCGTCACCTCTGCTTCGCAGAGGCTCGCACTGGCCCTACTTTCTGTATGCTTTACTCATTCCCGCACGAAAGTGACAATGAAACTCACCGCGCTATGCCGACTATCACGAATGATTTGTAAACAACTATTCATTCTAAAAGCTTTTCCATATGAGATCGGTAATTTCGCATGAATGAAACTTCTCCCAAAGGAACAAATGCTGATTTGAATCGGTTTTTGGAATTTTCATGGCTTGGCATTTGCCATAAGATTCAATGTCACCGTGGGCTACATCTCTGTGCAAAAATCTTTTCAAATGAGCGGGTAAAATCTTGGCAAAGTGAACACTTACGCAACCAAATCTTTTCGGTGCCGTTTTTGCAAATTAGTAAACTTTAGTTCAATTTTTTGAGCTAAAGTCCATCGTTTGCACATTAACTTGTCAAACAATCAGCGACCTTGCAAAAAGTTGTGCTACAGGCTCAATTTTACTGACCAAAAGCCAAGTGGATCCGATTGACGCGTATTTTTTGAGGGATCCACACAACGGATCCGCTCATGCTTTTGTACAGTGGACTCCCATATAAGTAGCATGCTCTGTGCAAATTTTGGGCTCAAGAAATTCATTGGAACTCGCTCCATGAATTTCGTGACAGACAGAGATTCAGACACACACACACACACAAACGTAAACAACCTTTAGCCCGTTATTATAAGTTATGATATTCCTCATCTAATTGCACTCGACTTTCGTGGTCTCCCGCAAGAAGTTTTTAAAAGTTTTCATTGCCGAAGACCTCTTGTGCACCTTTCTAGAAAGTATTCGGTTTAGAACTGCTGTTGTGGATAGTACCAGTTGATGATGCTGGTGATCTTCTGACGTGAAAGGCGCACGTAAAATTGCACTCATAAAATCCGCAGTCAGTCGAGGTGATAGAAATTCATACAAATCGACGATATGAGGCCGATAGATAAGTGGACGACACCAGACCAACACCTTCAACGGTTGCGATAGAACTCACTCGCATGGTAAGGATTCGTATTGTTTCCATCCTTTCTTCTGATCTTCGTTCCTGTGACGCTATGTTATACTTGATGCGCTCTACTCGAATCATTCTGCTGGACACATGTTATGTTTGAGTGATAGTTTTAGAGTGTCGTTTTACAGATTTCCACTGCAATGCATAAGACATTGCCATAGCAAGCACGCCCCCAGCAACAGTGCTCTCAGCTGCAGACACACATTTGAAGCGACGTGACGACAAAGCATGCGTCGTCTCAGATGAGTATCAATTAGCTATGGGTCACTTCGTCTGTTCTGCAACTGGCGTTGGCTACCAGTCACTCGAGATTGATTGCATATCCTGCCTCAAAGATCTCCTTCTTTCGTGTAATTTTGTAGTGGTCTCCAAAATGCGTTCCACGCTCTTCTCAGAGGTCACTGAGCCGCACTTTCCGCAGGCGCGCAGTCCTTTAAAAAGCCTATAGCAGTCGTATGTTAGGTCCTTCTGATGAGCTAGTCACAACTTGAAATGAGCTCTTCCAACCTGTCACCTCAAAAACAACTTCTTTCCTTCTTGCGGCACTGTGGCAAACCTTCTTTTCCAGCTTTCAACTAGATCGTACCTTCTGCTCGAAAGAGGTGGTGATCGGAGTCTCTACCTAAGGATGGAACTATTCAGACATTGACCAAGCTCCACCCTCGGTGAGAATGTGGTCATCTTTTATCGTACCGTTGGGCGATTTCCATCGACGTTCCTCTTACATGGAGATAGAGTTTTCATGGAAAAGCCGATAGACAATTGCCGTTTTTCATGTCCAAACTTCCCGATCCTAAATTACTCTTCTAGTGGCATCCCGATCATCGCCTTGGAGTCGCCAACAAGGAAGGACTTCTTTCTGCGGGAGATCTTATCCATTCTTTGCTGAGAGCATCCAATACGGATTCCTCAGCTCGTGTTGGGGAGTAGCATTTAATAATGTTGATGGTCTTCTGACGTGGAGGTCATAGTCTAGGATGGCTAACTGAGGTCGTATGTAATAGGATCTAATGAGAATCGACAAGATGGACGAAAGTGCCAACGCGTCAAGCGTTCCATGTTGAAGTTCTAGTCATTTGTCGCACACCCTTTCTGGTCTTCGTTCCTGTTAGATTGATTATCGGTACTTGATGGGCTCTGCAGCGTCGAGAAGAGCGTAGAGTACTGGCTGTGAAAGTACCATTGATTGGTTGACTGCACGGACTGAACATCACTGCGAAGTACGCGCCGCGATTTGAACGCTTGCCCCAGCACAAGTTCGTCATTGTAAAAATCGCGCTCGCGCAACATTTCAGCTGCGCCGCGCGTGGTCCGCAACGTTTGAGCGATCCTTGCGGTCAGCGAATCGATGATACATAGAGTGTACATCATAGGCCTCCGGCAGAGTTCACGCGATTTGATCGTCGCATTCCAACGCTACAAGACAAGTGTTAGGCTTTGGCCATACTTTGCCCGTGTTGCCGGTGTTGAAAGTGTCGAAAGTGTTGCCAGTGTTGAAAGTGTTGCCTGTGTTGAAAGTGTTGAACGGAGATCATCAGTCTAGCAGTTTCATTCTTTCTCGAACGATCTCATCGGTTGGTGAATACGTTGGCAATGGAATTGGGGAATGAGAAATGAAACTGAAATGAGATGGGGAATGTTTTCGCATGCAAAAGATCTTCAAAAAACTTTTTGAAAAGTGGACGGCTTGTCTGGAATAGGCAATCTCCAATATTTGAGAAAGCTGACGTCTAAGTAGTAATGTGCTGTAGTTCGAATCCTGCCGCGCTCTCCGATATTTGCAAGCGCTGCAGACCTCACTTAGGTCCTTTACTCACTAATCGCAAGCGCGGCAGGATTCGAACTACAGCACATTACTACTAAGACGTCAGCTTTCTCAAATATTGGAGATTGCCTATTCCAGACAAGCCGTCCACTTTCCAAAAAGTTTGTTTGAGGATCTTTTGCATGCGAAAATCTTCCCCATCTCATTTCAATTTCATTTCTCATTCCCCAATTCCATTTCCAACGTATTCACCAGCCGGTGAGATCCCTCGAGAAAGAATGAAACTGCTAGACTGATGATCTCCGTTCAACACTTTCAACACTGGCAACACTTTCAACACCGGTAACACTTCAACACTTTCAACACCGGCAACACTTTCAACACCGGCAACACGGGCAAAGTATGGCCAAAGCCTTACGAGTTCATTTCATGCCGATCTTCTAGTATTTCGGTTCTGATAGTTAGTCACGACGATTAGCATGTTGGAAAACTATCAAAACCGAAATGAAGAAGATCGGCATGCAATATATTGTTACAGTTGTCCTGTGCGATCAATCGCGACGATCAAATCGCGTGAACTCTGCCCGAGGCCAGGACGGAATATATCAAGGGAAAGCTGATATTCTTCTAGATAAACAACCCTCATATTCAATGAGGTGTGGCTATTGAGATTCATATGATTATTATAACAAGAAACACACTCACCTTGCTTTTTGCATTTAAGGGTCTTCGTCCCTTGACTTTTTCTGCTAAAGCCAGCGCTCCTTTCTTGTACAGCGATGGACTTTTCAGATGCTTTGCCATCCTCACGAAACCCCCTAAATCGTGTCACTTTTTGGATCTTCAAGAGAGTTACGCGTTACAACGGAAAGCTCACTTCTTCCATTATCGTCATCAGAATCACCGGACAGCTCATCTGATCTTGTACGATGGCCTTTCCGCATCTCTTTTGAAGGTGGCGACTCTGACTTCGATTTTGATCCGCTTTTCTCTTCGCTCCTTGATCCACTATGACTTCTTTCTTCGCTCTGTTGCCCTTCTCATAAGCTTCGGGGGTGGTACCGATGAGAGCACCTACCATCTTTGTTGGTTCTCGTGCATGGAAATAAACTGAACTTTTCTAGGACGGCAAAATCAAAGCGTGCATGTTGACTATTGTTTATGCAATCTTCTCTGTCACTTAAATATTTAGAGCTCTCATTTTATCTAGCGGTTAGTCAAGACTACACCATTTCTGAATAATGCTCTTCACTTCTATTTTAACTCCTCGAACGGATAGCAGCTCAAGGCGAATACATTTGGATAATTATCCATACAATCTGTTTCCCTTCTTAAGCGAATGAGCAGTTTCTTGGTTGTCAAGCTGCAAATTGACTTCACGCATTTGAAAGAAAAAGAGCGTTTAAGCATACCATAGTTAGTCCTCTGCTCTAATATCAAACAGTTTTTATTTTGGTGGATCTACAGAGCAAAGTTGTGTGAAGAAGGGAAACTTTAGCCAAAATAAGTACCTAATATATCACTGAGAGCTTAGACAAAAAATAAACCATCTTTTTTTGTCAAAGTCTGCTGAGAAGAGCGATGATAGCCTCCTTAAACATATCAACTAATTTTCTTTCATCATTTTATGCCAAAAATTGCAAAAGAACAGGCCTTTTGAACCATAGGATAAATACTAGTCACATGCCAAAGGAAGGAAATTTGATGCATTGGTCTTCCTTCTTCCTAAATTCTGGAACTATATATTTACGTTCGAATATTTTGGAACATGCCGCTTCCATGATTAGATTTCTTGAGTAAAAAACTGATGAGCCTGGAAAATGATATTTTTTTCACGCAGATCGAAGAAAAATTATATCATTAATAATAATTCAAGGCAAATACTCAGTTTCCCGGACATCGAATACTCGACAATAACCATTTTTAGGCCTAAGATATTCCCTGCTTATATCGAGATAGCCTTATTTCGACCACAGCTGTAAAATCAAACATTTGCGCATACCTGAAGTGGCGCACGAACGATCGAAAATTAAAAACCTGTATTTTTTATTAGCAAGAAAATCGCTACCGCAATATTTGTGAGTGCAAGTCAAAAAAACCACGACACATGTAAAGCCAAGGAGAAGTAGGATTTGGCGTTTCCTTATCTAACTAGCTGCACAACTTAGCAATGAATGATATTTGATATTTTACTTGTGCAAGCTAAGAAGCCTTTTTAACTTCAACAAAAAAAGTTACAGATCTCTTCGCTTACAATACGTTACATCAATTCAAGCAAAAGAAATTTCCTCCTCTCATTAGCTACTGCGCGCATACTGTTTCCACTAAAAAATTAATCCTAAGGCTCCCGCCAGAGTGCCGAAGTTATGCCAGCGCTACGCCAGCATTTCGATCGATACACGTATATTTCGTTGGGGACATCTACTGCTGAGCTAGCTCCGCCCCAACGAAATACGCGTGTATCGATCGAAATGCTGGCGTAGCGCTGGCATAACTTCGGCACTCTGGCGGGAGCCCAAACTTCAGTAAGCAGCCTTTGATTTAGCTCTTGGCGAGTGGAAGGCGGGCTTTGTGACCTTATCGAGGTCGCTTGCGCCCGCGACGTAGTCTACGTCTCTCACGCGCGCGTGCTCTCTGATCACTCCTAGCCTTAATCAGGTCACGAAGTCTCGCCTTCCACCCGCCAAGCCAGTTGAATCGAAGGTTAAGCGTCCCATGCCATCGTGTCAAATCAAAAATTTTGACTGATGTCATGCTCAGGGTCAAGCGTGGGGTGCCGCACGCTACACCTGGAGGGTCGTTTCGGGGAGTCAAAAGGGAAGGGGGTCGTAGTTGGGTAATCTGATAATAGTGATAACGCGATATTCGTATCCTATCCTTAATTAGCATGTCAAATAACCCCTGTAGACAAAGTGTGAGCGAATTCTGAAGATTCGAGATGCTAGGCTACCCAAGTGAAATGGTCAAATTCCAACATGGTTAACTTTGTTTCAGAGGTGAATTAGCTATCTGTTTTTGCACTCAAGACAAAGCACTACTCCTTCTTTGTCCACCTCAGGAATCCCGCTTCAGCAGACCCACAAACTGTGGAATTAGAAGCCAACCAAGATCTCGTTTTTCCCATTTTTCGCTTTTGATCGCTGTGCTTTCACCAAATATTACTCAGAGCTAAGAAGACGAATCAGGCTCCAAACAATCCTATGGAATCTACAAGGTTTAGGCTATCGATTCATATAAATAGTGTCCGCTAAAAATGTTTTTTTGATATATTTAATGGGGTGCGGCACACCCCCTTAAAAGCTGCGGCGGCCGCAGCGAAAAATGGGAAAAACGAGATCTTGGTTGGCTTCTAATTCCACAGTTTGGAGGTCTTCTGAAGCGGGATTCCTGAGTTGGACAAAGAAGGAGTAGTGCTTTGTCTTGAGTGCAAAAACGGATGCCTAATTCACCTTTGAAACAAAGTTAACCATGTTGGAATTTGACCATTTCACTTAGGTAGCCTAGTATCTAGAATCTTCAGAATTCGCTCACACTTTGTCTACAGGGGTTATTTGACATACTAATTATGGATATGTTGCCCATTATGTTTGACTGTGCCTTCAAGTAATGCTATCTTGAGTGTATAGTTCAGGGGGGTCTTATTAAGACAGCAATCAGGGAGGGGGGGGGGGGGGCTCGTAACCAGCGATCGTGTGCCACACCCCTTGCTTGACCCTGGTCATGCTGCACTATAATTGGATCCTCATTAATCGAGAATGGAAAGTGTAGGATGTACTGTATAAGAGAAACTCGGCCATAACATAATCAGAAAGAAAGCTTTCCAAACTTACAAATAAATGCAGCAAGACTCAAAAGGTTCATAATACTAAATTTCGATGTATACAAGTACATCCTAAGTTAACAATATTTATCAGTATAAAAAGCATTAGTTCCAAATTACCTATATAAATACAAGCAAGGTAAGGCTGTCTTACACTTTTTTCCAGAAGGACTACAACAATCACACAACTGAGCCCGATCAATATCTAACAGTGATTATGCATGATGTTTATGCACAAAGTATATACATTTTTTAGGATGAGTTATAGTTTTCTCTACAAACAGCATGACATGTTAGTGACTACAATTTCTCCATTAAAAAAACATGCACACGTTTTTATCTGCAACATAAATTCGCCTGGGACTACTTTTGATTGGAAGCATCCTTGCTGATGTCACTCGGTCATAAGCTCACAGAATTCCATCCTCAGCCTGCAGGACCGTGCGCTGTGGGGGCTGAGTAGTCTGAGTCGCGGGTGGTTGCTCTGTTCCGTTTGGCTGGGTAGCATTTTCATACGATGGTGGAGGATCAGTAACATTTGTCTGATTACTTGCTGCTGCGCCATTCGAAGTGTTTCCATCTCCAGCGCCAAAAACGATACGAATACCTGGATGCTGGAGTTTCTGCAAAAACAAAATATATATAAAATAGAAAGAAAAAAACCGGTAAAAAGTACTTACACTTTTCTCAGCAACTCGCATTTCCAGGTCATGGATCTGTCTCTTCTCAAGGTATTTTCGGCATCTGAATGGGTTGTTCTGAGACAAGCAGGACCTAGATACGGCTAAAAATGATCTCAAAGCTACCTCACAACTGATGTTAGCATTATAGATTGTATTCCCATAGCGAACATGAACATGATAGTGACTAGTATATAGCCCTAAAATTGAGAACCTTGACCAATATAAGCATTTTCTCCACAAACTAACCGCAGAACTTTCAGGAAACGGAGGATAGGTTTTCATAGAACTCAGTATAACTATGTGGTTTCTGTAAGCAATTTCATAAGAATGCATAAACCACTGTATTTATAAAAGCACTCACACTACAAAGATGAAGAAGATTGTCTCAAATACAAGCACCATGGTATAGATCAAGATGAATGGAATCAAATAACGTGGCTGCATGAGTTTTATTCCGCGTACAACCATCCAATGGATAGACAAGCCAATGAACAAGAACAGCAAAAGGCCAACTAGATTGGCAACATTGCGGCAACCAAAAAGTAAGGAAAAGGCCAACTCACACAAAAATCCGATATCTACACCTTTTTCGTGATGGTACCAATCGAACTCGAAGAATACTGACAAAAATATAAAAATGACTAAGGAAAGTCCAACTCCAGCGGAAATCTGGAACATTGCCTTACTACCAAAGTAAAGATCGTTTTACGATAGGTAGATTGGTAAAAGAGACTAACAATTGCGGCTCGCTGCGCATGAGTGCCAAAGGCCATGAATTCAGGGCTATCCTCACGGAACGGAGCGACATGGATGACTGTAGGTGGAGGACGATCATCAACTTCTTCTCCTAAACAATAATACCTTTATATGTAGCTATATAAAACTAGAAAGGTAACCGCTAAAGCTCGACTGCGACTTATTTTTAGGCAAAGAAAAAGAAATACTGAAAAAAGGTCTCAAACAGCTGGTAGTCATAGATGGTGGAAGATAGAGCGAAATGAAAAAAAGGAACAACAATGCAATGCAGCTGTCTCTGCAGAAGCAGCGAACCTGCACTCTGCAAATTGATGTCTCAGTGATTCTTTATGGATAGAAATAAAAGACTTAAAATCATTTCTGAAAAAACTTTCGAGAGTTTACGAAAATCTCAATATATGCGGACACCCAGATAAAAAAGATTGTTTTTTCTAAAAACCATTTTGTACTAAAGAAAACTCAAAGTTGTTACTGATTAAAGCAATTTGTTTACCTGGCAAGCCAAATCTTGAGTAGGACACTACATTGGTATCGCTTCTGCTCTTGATCCAGTTGATGATCCGATTCATCACCTGAAGTGTCGCCCAGCAAATGATAAAGATTTTGACATTTGAAATCCAAAAAAAGATATCAAATAAGTGCTTTCAACATGAGCTTAAAACAGAACAAGTGGCACAAAGAAATTTATAGACAATGAGACAATACCTCAATTCACCCCCTATAATATCAAATTCTATAAAGTAAGTATCACAGGATGCCTAAATGAACAAAAACTGCACATTTGTCATTTGTCACTCATAGTACCACATTAATAAGGTTGAAATGGCTTTAGCTACCTGTATTAAGTAAAATATAGCAATGGTAATCTATTCTCGTGCACAATTCTCCCAATGCAAGAGAATTTTCTAATGAGTGACGCTCGCAGTACATATGCACAAAACAACAATATACTATACAAACACATTCCGCGCCTAGATTGGAATTATGGACAGTAAACACGTTAAATTCATTGTACTTTCCTCAATCGTTCAGTAACTGCTGCATTGACTGCTTGGCAGCCTTGAGGGCTTTTCGCTCAAGGGTTAATCCAATCACTCCTTGCCATAGGCAGAACGCCATTAAAACAGTGAGGATGAACCTACAACGGGACTTTAATCAAGAAGAGTGTTTTATGGTAAAAGGACGAAGTGGAAAATTCGAATTAGTGGTGAAGAAAAAACAAGAATATTTAAAGGCCAGACACATTCAACATCAATATTCACTGACCTGAGGGCCGAAAACAGTATCGTGAAGGCTGGGAAAGCGTTATCCAGGAGTAGAGACAGACCGATAATGATGAATAACACTATCGCACTGCAAACGAACCATATTCGGTCGCGGCGAGCACGGCGTTGTCCGCCCGTAACGATGCCGATCGCTTCAATCAGCAGTGGCCGGTTTGACTCCCATTCGCATGGAGACTAGAAAAAGCTTCAATATGTCGAAACACATTATTGACACTTCACACCGCTCAACAAGAAGTCGTAAGTATGGATAACCATCGAGATTATAAAAATGTGACTTTTACACAATGAACCACGAAATTTGACAAGGACTCAGACAAAGGGATCCCTATAGGGAGGTTACTTATCCTACATTTCTGCATCCCGATACCACATCTGACTCAATTTCCAGCTCATTCTAGTTGTCTTGACCGTGTTTTTTCCAACTACCCTGACCCAGTTCAACGCTTCACTGATTAGGAAACGAAACGTTCGCGATCGATTCAGTGTATGAAAAAGAGTTTACATCGCTAGCGTTCAAAAACACCAATGCCCTCTATAAATTAGCAAAACTTAGTGTGTAAAACAATCATTATCAATTTGAGCAGCTCCACACATTTTGATGGTCAAACTGCCATTCATAGGAACGTCCTCTGCTACAGTGACCGGTCTCCTATAATGTAGATTATGTTTGCAAATGTAATCGCACTTTAGATTCTAAATTATGCACATACTGACTAACAGCTGCCACTGTAAACAAAAGGCAGTAACCACGAGAATAATTTGTTTCAATGCAAGAAGGAAAACTTGTTATCGATTTCAATGAGCAAAGAAGAAAACGAGAGACACAAATGAATAAGCCATACCTGGCGCTGCCCGCATTCTACTCTAAACTGTGCTTGTAGCCCCACATGGTCGGAAAAGTTTATGTTTTCATCGGGGATCTATAAAAACAACTACTAGGTATCATGAGCGAAAAAAAAATCAAGAAAGCTACCTTATTCATTGTCACTTCGCATTCCTCTAACGAGACAGACATACGACCACTTTTGAATAATATATAATCTATTCTTTTGCTTTCATCCTAAAGACATAGGTTTAGCCAGTGCCCACAGCGAAAATCATAACGACTTACATTTTCTCTAAAATATTTAGAGGAATAGCAATTGTCAGGACGATCACACGTGCCACCGCGCTCAACGCCTCGATTTTTCGACAGCGAGACATTGTCTTGAGGGGAAACGGGATGTGCAAGACGCCAACAATCAAGAAGGCGAGCTTGTGAAAGGATTAACCTATAATGAATGTAGATAGAAACATATACGACCTTAAATATAAAAACTCTGCACAGATGACGGAGTAAAAATCACAATGCAGCAATTTCGCCAACGTTTGACAGTTTCAAGGACGAAACATTCTAAGGTTCTAAGGTCGTCATAAACGATCTTGAAAGATGATTCCTCTTAGAAAACGAAGAAGAACTCTGTGCACATCATCGATCAAATTTCTACAGCGAAACATGAATCATAGGGAAAATAAACGTTCTTTTGTTCAAGCAAGACACTTTGCACACTTGCAAAACATATAGTTCCTAGGAATTTTATTCTTAAAGATCTTGAAAGGACAAAAGAGGAAAACTACCTTAGCCCTAAATCCTCCGGTTCCATGTTCAAATCGCCTGTTACTATAACAACATCGGCTCCACAAGAGGTATGACGGACAAACTGGCTTAGTTCATAGGACTGTGCAGTCCTATAATGTAAAAACAAGTTGATCAGCGGTAAAAATGAAAATTGGAGTACGAAAATTATTAGACGCTGAGCTGTAAAATGAAAAGTCGCAGGCTTACTTACCGGTGAGATAGATACATATCATGTTCTCTATCGTACTCGGCATGAAGGTGAGTGCAATAAAAATTCACTTTCATCTCACCAACCTCTATTTCCACTAATCCTACCACCTGAAGGATAAGAGACCATAAAGATAAAAATGTAACAGAAAGCAAGATAACCCGAATATAAAGGTCAACTCCGTGAAACACGTCACAATATCGATCACATAAATGCAAACAATTTCACCTTGCCACCGAACCAGTCTCCTCGATGAACATGATGAGCAAAACCGTTCAGTGAGTATCTTAAAAGATCTAGTGAATCGCCGCCAAAAAGAATGAAATAAAAAATGAGGCATACCTGAGCGTAAGCGTTGAAACAATGGGATGACGGCTGAATACACATACTCCACTTCCTGTAAATCCTGAGTGGAAATAATGATGAAATGCAAAAGAACTGGAAAGCCTATCGACCATATCCAGATAGTCAGTTTCTACCCATACCTCCTGAAAATGAACCTTAGTAAGTAATGTCTAATTGTAAGACATGTGGACGATTACCTGTAGTCCTACTATATCATAATTTTCTCTAAGAATTGCCTCAGCCAATTTTTTTAATCGAAATTTCCTGTCTTTGCTTCCAATCGGCCATGGCTGCGGAAGGCACCAAACATTGAGTGTCAGCACTCGCAGTTGTATCCCGATTGGAGAGTCTAGAAAAGCTGGTGCAAAAAACTCTTAGCCACTCAGAAAAAAAATGTTTATGCAGATTGCAGAATCACATTTACACTAATCAATTTCACCTTAAAATACTTCAAAAACAGATCCGTCGCAAAAAAATTAAAACAATAACGAACTAGTTGAATACCCTTACCCTCAATGTGACTTTGTTCTACGTGATTTCTTCTACGCAAACTTTCATAATTTGGAGAGCTTTTCTTTAAAATGGGAGAAAATTCAGAAGTAAGTTGTAGGGTCGCTTCATCAGAACAGGAACGAAGAGTCGCTTCATCAGAATTTAGAGAAAACATCGCTGAAGAATGACTCAACAAATTGCCGCACAATGAGTAGCAGACGGAGCTTTCTTATCAGTCACACGTTGTTCAGACATAAGGTCAGGGTCATTATTTTTTTCAATGCTATTCGATCATGGTCCACTAAGCTATACTGCCAGACAACAAAAATCATGCTGTTTTTGTAGTCCCCGTAAAGAAATGTCTTTTGATGTTTTGTTTAGCTTTTCGTCGTGCTATTCCATGTATTCAATTCCTTCCTTCTGCTCAAACAACCAACATCGGTTACAAGAATACCTTTTTAACACTGATTTATAACCCATTTACTATAAAATAATTTCAAGAGGCATCTACTTCTCACAATATGCTAAGCACAAGCTGATGGTCTGATGCTCCTTTCTGAGCATAATTCAAAAATTACTCTCTAATAACTTCTTCAAATATCAGTTTGCTACAAGCTGTGTTTTATAGGGAATTGTTGAGCTTCATATTGCAAAGCTTGAGAAAAGTAAACGAGCTTGAATGATGAGAAGCAATGCTTTTTCCATTCCGAAGGTTCGAACGATGATGTTAGCCGCTGCGGGTAAGTTCAAAAAAAAAAACAAACAAAGAGCTGGTTGCAAAATTCTCGCCTTCCTCAAAGCAATCTGATATCAAGAAGAAAGGAATGTTTGCGTTCCAGAACAGCTTTGTAAGAAAACAAAAATAGAAGCTGTGCGCAGATCAGCTGCAACAAGTTACCGCTTCAATTGAAATCAAGCCAAATAAGACTTATACGAGGAGACTACTCACCAAGCGAGGGATATTTTGCGGGAAGATCGAGATCACGATGCAAATCTTCGTAAGACATACCATTTTCTGTTGGAATTTTCTCCGAGGACATCAAAAACAGTGAGAGATACCCCTAAACGTGGAATTTCAGGCCCTTAACTTCAAAAATCAAAGTTTTTCAAAGCGCCTTATCAGAAACTTTTAACGAAAAGAAAAGAAGCACCGATACACTAGTAAGCAAGATATACTAATACTTGTTTATTTGCATTTCTCGTTGGAAATGCAAAAAAAGTGGCGGAGTGGAGCATTGATTGGCAGTGGAGCACGAAATTACAGCGCTGGTGCTGACGTGTGCGGAGGGACCGTAGATTCGCCCGCAGGAACGATTACTTTTGGATTGGAGCAGGAATTGTGTTTAGAGCGCTCAATCGTCTCTCGTTCTGCTACGTGCAGTTATGAATTTGACGGAACTCCTTTTTCCAGTACCAGTTTAGTCTATGTTAGCTCTTTACACTGTGTTCTTGTGTGACCAAGAGGTTTAGGTTCATCTTGTAGGTCTGAAGTTCTAGAGTTTCTCAAGTGAGGTGTAGTGCATCAGAGTTATTGTAATCTTTATTGTCAAGTTTACTAGAGGTGGAAAGAGCGACTGGCAAGAGGTCACTCAAAAGTAGTCTACAGCAAACTCAGCCCCGGTCAACATTTTGACCCAGTTGCATCTTGATGGTCCCGTCTCATTCGGTTTTCATATAACAAGGCGGTGACGACGTTGCATCGAGGTTTTTGCGCTCGGATGTTCTACACAAACAAAGCCATCGAAATGTTTGCCACTTTACGGCTATCACTTATTTTGCAGACCCTTTTGCCGCGTCTGTCATTTTAGCGGGTGGAGGACTACATGTCGCCGAATTTGGAAGAGTCCCGCGCGGATTGCCTGCAGGAACGCATGTCCGCGCATGTACAAGGGCGCGCATTTATCGCAAATGACCGCGGGGACCGCCCTTTTTCGGCGACATATAGTCCCCTACCCCATTTTAGCGGACTTCTTCAAATGTCATGCTTGGCAACAGAAATCGGGTAGAGGACTATATGTCGCCGAAAAAGGGCGGTCCCCGCGGTCATTTGCGACAAATACGCACCCTTGTACATGCGCGGACATGCGTTCCTACAGGGAATCCGCGCGGGACTCTTCCAAATTCGGCGACATATAGTCCTCCATCCACAGAAATCTATCCGAGAATATTTACCTAAATTGGCAACAAATTTGTGCAAGTTGTGTGCATTATCAACTCTCTGCCAGATAAACGTGGAACAAACATTGATTTCATGAGGGCATCGCAATTCAATGCATAAACACTAAAGCATGAGGAATAAAAAATACATCGCAGCGCTTTATTGCTCCGAAAAGGAGGACATTTCACAGTCAAGCTCTGCCATGATTTGCTTTGTAGTATTTCAGATTTACTTGAATCATTCAGGCCTGTTGTAGAATCAACTTTTCTCCTTCTGGTGTAAAACACATTTGATACAACAAACTTGCATTATGGCCCCAATCCTCATATTTCAAGTCACCCAATAATTTACAATGCAGATTTTCAGATTTGAAAAGAGCATTGATTCAGGAAACAATTTTGTGCCAAGTACCAAAAATTAGGTATGAATGAGTCTATTGACGTTTTATCATGTTCTTGTAGATCTGAAACACTGCAAGGGCTTACATGAAAACTGGAGTCATGGTTCAAGTTTGTTGAAGGTGACATTTGCAATTCTTATTGCAAACGGTTTCGGTGTATGGTGCGTACATTTTCGACCAACTAAGTCGTAAAATCTAGGCATCTGCATTTCAAATTCCTTTGCAAAATTATATTCTTGGCGAGCTTTGAAAAATGAAGTTCAGTGGTCTTTTCCCCGCTTACATTTCTGTGACCGTACCGTAGTAGAAACTCGCCGAGATTACCATAAGTCTGACTTTTTCTCAAGTATATTTGTATGTATATTTGTATAAGGCAAATTCGCCTGGATGATGCAAAAAGTAAAAATTTTTCAGTAAGGAGAAAGTTCTGTGCATCTGATACTTGAATTAATACTGTGCAATATAAAATGCTGTGCACACTGTATGATCGTTAATATCTCTCTTGCCTTCATGTCTTCTTGAAGAGGGCTGTACAAATTTTACGGAGCTGAAAGACTTTGACAAAAGCACAAAAGAACAAATCTTGCCAGCTCTCGAGAAGTCACAGCAAGAAGACGACGATCACCGCTAATCAGGGCGCAACATTCACAATCAGAGACAAACTACGATGTTAAGAAGCTGGTACAATCGTGGTTTCCTAGTGCCACCTTTTTTGCAAGAATTTCGCTTATAGGTAGACTCCCCAATAGTCAAGGCATTCAATGAAGCTGAAAGGAGACGGTTGTCCAGATCGAAAAAGTGATATCTACTAAAGAAAAAAGGAAAAAGCAAATTAAACTTTTATGTACAAATTCAAACCGCATTAGTAAGGAATTTTGTATTTGATGCTGATAGTAATGGAAACCTAGAGCTTGAGTAACTCATCTTCTGCTGTAACTCTGCGCAGTTTCCCAAAATCAGTTTCCGCTGGCGATACCCATTTGTCCAGATTTGCCTGGACGCCGGAAGAAAGTGGCTCGGCAAGCTTGATACGGAGATTAGAGTTGCAGTAGTAGAGTTGCAAGACGCAACATTGAGTTATTTGGTAAGCGCATCTTCAAAATCAGCGTTGGAAGGATAAGGTGCTCTACGGAGGATTCCTGCTCCAATCCAAAAGTAATCGTTCCTGCGGGCGAATCTACGGTCCCTCACGTGTGCGTTAATGCCAGATATCCAATTAGGGATAGGAATAGTGAGGGTATATATTCCATTTAGCGTAGATAAATTAGAGAAGCCTTACCGAGTATTGAGTATGGCATTTGCCTTCACTTCTGCTCCACACCTTTCGTTTGGAATCGCTCTATGCGAATGTTCCCAATGACGTGGCAAGCAGTAGTCCTTCGAGCTTCTACAGAAGCACCAGCTGTCACCAGCTTTTGTGGTCCTGACATGAGAAGCATTACTCTAGGAGAATGGTCGACAGCTTCATTCGTTGGTGTGACTGTGTAGATTAATTAGGATGGTCCGACAGTCCTCACGCCAACTGGGCGGTGTCCAGCAACTCCAGATGAGGTGTGCCTAACCGGGTGACCGGCGGTTTCCCTTCTCCTTTCTTTACTCTCATGAATATATAATAAAGACTCTATAAGACAATCAGGGTGAAGGATTCAAGTCAAAAGAGTGCACCTCTTGAAATTGACATGGAAGATTGTTTTCCCGGATTGTTTCCCTTTTTCATGACTCGTACTTTTTCTGAATCAATATTTTTCAAGCATTTTTCTTCTATATCGGAAATTTTGAAAGTGAATCAGCATAGATTTTGGTCAAATCTTTTGCAGACACGCTGAAGGTAAAGTTCACTGCATGAAATCGCCCAGGCTAAGCGCCCGCACGGGGATGGTTCCACGCGAGCGTGTCTGTCGCGGGCTAACATTATTGGCGCGCATGAGTCATCATAGCGCCCGTGCTCGGCAGCCGCGCAGTATACTTGGGTAATTCGAAAATCTTCCATCGAATGAATGAATATCGAATAAATTCGCAAAGGAAAAATCTCTAATAAACGAACATCGAGTAAATTCGAAAATAAAAAATCTCGAATAAACGAATATCGAATAAATTCGAGGTTCAAAAATTCTCGAATGAATGAATTTCGAATAAATTCGGAAAATGAATATCGATTATATTCGAACATTGGGAGCCGAATTTCGAATAAATATTCGAATGATTTATCGAATAACTAGAGCAACCATATCTCAAACTTGCTGACATATCTGGCTGAAGCCGATCCATCTATAATCAGCTTCCTCGTATCCCCTATATCAACTCCTAGCTCAAAATTTTCCGAAAATCGCTGAAATCGATAAAACAGATTCCGGTTTTGATCAGCATCCTCATTTACCCCCCCCCCCCCCCTGTACCAACTCCCAACCTCGTAGCTCAAGATTTTCCAAAAATTGACAAAATCGATAAAGTAATTATCCATAGTCAGCACCCTCACTGACCCCCCTTGTACCAACTCCCAGTCCCGCAGCTAAAACTTCTCCAAAAACCGATAAAATCGATGGTAAATTTTTATCCATAACCAGCACCCTCACTAACCCCCTTGTACCAACTCCCAGCCCCGCAACAACGGTGGCCACATATGTACTTGAATGCCACAAATGCTACGATACATTGCCTGTTCACCGGAGGCTTTCGTCTTTTGTGTGGCATAGCTAATCGTGGACGAAGGCATGTGGTTTATCCCGCGAAGCGAGCACGATTGCCCCTAGCCTTGGGCATAATGCAGGCACTTCAGTGGCGACGTGGTTTGGCAATAGTCATGTCCAAAACTTATTCTAAAAGTACAGAATGCACGGCATTTATGTTTTTGGTAAGTTGTACACGCTAAACACTTGTGGTAAGCTGGCGTTACATTTGAAGACATCTCGTAACTGGCAAATCGCGTACGGCAATCTAAACCGTCTATCCTCCACTACAACTGCCATTCTACTCAAAATACATCAATTCGCAAAAAATCTCTAAGGTAGCGAATAGAGGCAGTTGTGCAATATGATTTATGCGAGCAAGAGTGCTCACTAGGTGGCTTTGCGTACCACAAGCATGAGCAATCCAAAGAAAGGAAAACAGGCATTTCAAAACACTTTCAATATATGAACTCGGAACATGAGCTTGAATTTGATAGCTTCTTTGCTGATTTGGTGCCAACAGCAGTGCGAACAATCTCATTGATCGAAAAAGCATCAATAAAAATCCACATATGATTTTTTACTGTCAAGCAGTCGGAAGAATGCGACCCTCCATACAGTTCAAAAGTCATAACGGCTGCAAAAGCTGCATTATCGAGTTTTGCGAAAAAAACGCGGACGAAGTGAGCTTGATACTCAGCAGTTGGCTCTGGAACTAAATCGAATAATCTGAATACGGAGTTCATTCGAATACGAATTCGAATAAACATTCGAATAAAACATTCAAAAAAATCTATTCGAAACCCTGTTTTTTGATTATTCGAGTTTCGAATTTCATTCGAAATCCCGGCTACTCAATTATTCGAGTTTCGAATATTATTCGAAAATGGAAGAACTCCGAATATCGAATTTCGAATACGAATATATTCGAATGTTTTATTCGAATGATCGAATTTCTATTCGATTCGGACTCAAGTATACCGCGCAGGCACGCTCGCGGGCGTTCAGCCTACAGCGATATGAGGGATTTCGTGCAGTCGGCTTTACATGTAAAATTATTGTACGTGTTGTATTGTATCGAGACGTCCACGGCTCCAGGACCAGACCATGTTCCCGTCAATTTCTGCGAGCAGGAGGACAACGTCTATACGAGATTCTCGCGTCCACCTGACGTCATACCTTCAGAAGGAAAGGATTTCCGAACAGTAGAAAACGTCAAGAATCGTTCATCTCTTCAAGAAGGGTCAACGGGAGGATCTTCGGAACTTCCGTCCAATATGCCTTTTGAGGTGCTGTATAAGCTTTTTACGAAGATTGTCCTCGCTCGCATATCAAGGACACTGGATGAAGCCCAACCCCAAGAACAAGCTGGATTTCGCAAAGGATTCAGTTGCATGGACCACATCCAGACCGTCTCGAGGGTCATAGAAGTCTGCCGGGAGTACCGACTGCCTCTCGTCCTAACCTTTCGACTACGAGAAAGTGACACCGACGAAACAACACCATCCTGTCAGCGCTAGTCGATCAAGGAGTGTACGCAGCTTACGTGAGGACGTTAGCTGACTGCTACACGGAGTGTACAACTGCGATGCAGCTGTTCCATCGCTCCCTAACCATCCCAATCGGAAAGGGGGTCCGACAAGGGACACAATCTCGCCAAAGCTGTTCACCGCCGCCTTGCAGTGGGTGATGGAGTCACTGGACCAAGACGAGAGAGGCATACAAGTTAATGAGGTAATCCTGTCCAACCTTAGTTTTGCGAATGACATCGTTCTCCTCGAGCAGTGTCGCTGAAGCAGAGACGATGCTGAAGAAACTGAACGAAGTAGGAAAGAAGATTGGGTTGCGAATAAATTGGAAGAAGACTTAGTTTATAAAGAACGCCTTTTGGAAGGTGCAGAAATGGATTTGTAAGGACCCCTATCATGGAGCGTGGAACGGATGGACCAGCTGAGAAATCAGCTCGATACGATTTTCGCCTCTGGATCTCGTTGGACGCCGTTGACAGCCAAGAAGACCGTGGATGTCTGAAGCGGGGGACAGAGATAAATGAAAACTTCTGTGCTGGGGCCTCCACATCACAAGAAGCTAGGCCATTTTAAGTAAGTTATGGTGTATATATACCAGTGACGGACCGAGGGGGAGGGGGGGGGCTCCGAGAATAGGTCGCCGAAATTTTTGAAATTTACCTACGTGGATTAAAATGTGCAAGTGGCATGTTTATTCTTGTAAACAATTAAAATAATTTTTGAATTTTGTGTGTTAGTGTGCCGGACCTAGGTTTATACGGTGGTATCTTTACTCGACCTTACGTTTCGACACAGTCGTCGTCTGCGGAGTTCTGAAGTAGATTGCAGTTTGAATCTGGTAGACAACACCACCAAACGCCATCATCAAACATCAGCGAGTCTAGACCTCGCCTCGCGCGCAACATACTGAGATACACAACGGTGTAGAAATTGACCTCTGAGCCACCGCAGAGGAAGTTAGTAGCAGCACAAAGGACACGAACGACACTGAGAGCTGCTCAGTGGATCGATCCTTATAGAGTTAGCGCATGAATTGGCAGGTGGTGTTGGGCTAAAGTGTACTGGGGGGGGGGGGCGGGGTCTATACTTAACACCACCAAAATCCGAGAGGGGTCCATGTTGCCGATCCATTGCCTTCAAGAGAATGAGTAGCGTATGTGAACAAAAAGTGCCGTGAATGCTTTAAATGCGCGCTATGTGCCAGACCTTTTAGGCCCGTATGCACGTACATCCCCGCGGGGAGGGGATGTGAGTTTAACCATTGCAATGATCCCCGCTGGGACTCCCCTCCCTTCCCCACGCGAATTCCCGTATGCAAAAAGGCAATAGGAGAGGGGATCCCCTGGGAGTAGGAGAGGGGAGCCCCCTTATGCAGAAGGGGAGATCGAACGGGGAATTCATTTTGCTTCCGCTTTTTTGCAGTAATTATTCCTTTTTTCTTATCTTTTGATAGCTACTCGCCATCAATGTGTCTCGGCGATATTTAGTCGTTGCGGAATGCCGTCTGCCGTGATTGCGATCGGCACACTGAAGAAATACCTATTTCCTACATCTATTATATTCCAGCTGTTTTCATGGATGCTGCTCATTTTTGCCCATGCTGCCCATTTCAGCTTAAAGGTGTTCAATGATAGAAGTCAAGGTGTATGTATATGCAGTGAATGGGTAGAAGACGTTATGCTGCCGAAAAAAAGGGGGGAGGGTGCCGCGGACATTCAAGCCAGCATTTCTACACATAATTGAAGCTGCAAATCGTGCCAGCTCTCCATAAACGCTGTAGCTATCAGCTGCATATCGTCCTTTACCCCAGGGGAATGGACCCCAGCGGTCATCCCTGCTATGCACGAGGGGAGCGATGGGGAGGGGATCATTCCCCCGGGGATCTTTACTCAGAAACACGCGAGTCTGCTAATTTTCATTTTATTCAAAGCAGTTTTACGTTAGGATAACAAGATAAGAACAATTTATCATTTAATATGATAGTTACAATATGCTGCACCAGCCTTAATGGATAAAACTATCATGTCAAATAAAAAATGTGCAACTCTCGTGAATGGCCACAACCTTCTACAGATATTCGAGACAGGGGAGATACATGTCCGAATTTCTTTACAAGAAGCGAATATGGAAGAGAGAGTTAAAACTGCAAGCTACAGGTCGCTGAGAGAGGAACCCGGCTCCCGTAGAAAATCTCTCATCAATTTGAACGAAATGCTTTGTAATAATTGATTGAAATCAGAATACTCGCTTCTCTGGCTTGATCTACACCATCGAACCCCTACTCCGTTGTAGGGGATGTCGATCCTCTCCCCCGCGTTATTGAGTTAAATTCGCGCATACGGGGTTCGAGTGGGGGAGGGGAAGAGATCCCCTCCCCCATTCGAACCCCGTATGCACTGAGGTTCGCTCGATCAATACCTCTGAAACCATTCACACCATCCCCGCTTAGGTGCAGGGGAGGGGATCGCTCCCCTCCCCTCTGTCATGGCGGGGTTCGGCGGAGGGGATCGTTCCCCTGGGGATCCAGCTCCCCTCCCCTCCCCAGCGGGGACGTACGAGCAGAGGTGCGATAGGTGGAGCCGGGCCCCCCAAAAGTGAAGGTGGTTCCAGCTACCACTGACCGGCCAAAAGTGAAGGTGGTAGTGCCGGACACTCACCTCCCAAAAACGTCGACGGGGGGGGGGGGGTAACGTCGACTGAGCCTAACCTTCCAGGTCGTTGCCGCCAGTGCGCGGAATATAAGCAAAACAAACGCAAAAAAGATCATTGAAGGCATATTTTTAGGAACACGGCGTCATATTTATTTAAAATAAACGTGTTTAGTAAATGGTGTATTTGGAAGTAAAAGATAGACTGTACGGATTTTATTAAGTAAATTTTGTCATAACGTACTACAAACAAAGTAGGTCGATCCAGGGAATAACCGCCGAGAACCAGAATTTTGAATAATAAAATAACGATAAATTATGCGAAATTTCCATTTTCATAAATCTTGCGGTTGAAGATGTCAGCAATTGCGACTTCATAGGTTTTGAAGGGCAAATGTTGTTCTACCAGACAGTGAAATTAGGTCGATCTGAGCAGTGGCCGCCGAGAACGAGAATTTTGAAAAATTAAGCGATTTTAGGTTACTTAGTGACAGCTGACGTTTAGACTCCTATAAATCTGGAATTTGAAGGAGTGCAATGTTGCGACTTCATAGGTTTCATGTCTTAGCCGTAACGATCCAATAAGATACCGCCGAGATTCAGGCTCTTGAAAAAACAAGTGAAAAACCGCTTTTTGAAATTCAACAGCGCATAACTTCTCCAGAATTGCATGAATCATGTTGCGACTTCATAGGTTGGATTCTCCTCATCAAGAGCTTTCAGATGATATATAATATGTGGGGGGTTCAATGATTTTTGCGGCTCTAACCCAGGGTGGAGACTTTTCACCCCAAAGTCTCCACCTCGCCCATTTAATGTACTGGCCGGAGACCGCCAGTGGAGACTTTGGGGTGAAAAGACTCCACCCCCGGGCATATGCTGTGAGAGGCGCAAACCCCCACATATTATATATCATCTGAAAGCTCTTGATGAGGAGAATCCAACCTATGAAGTCGCAACATGATTCATGCAATTCTGGAGAAGTTATGCGCTGTTGAATTTCAAAAAGCGGTTTTTCACTTGTTTTTTCAAGAGCCTGAATCTCGGCGGTATCTTATTGGATCGTTACGGCTAAGACATGGTCCGATACAGCAATCCTTACTCTACAAAACCTATAAAGTCGCAACATTGCACTCCTTCAAATTCCAGATTTATAGGAGTCTAAACGTCAGCTGTCACTAAGTAACCTAAAATCGCTTAATTTTTCAAAATTCTCGTTCTCGGCGGCCACTGCTCAGATCGACCTAATTTCACTGTCTGGTAGAACAACATTTGCCCTTCAAAACCTATGAAGTCGCAATTGCTGACATCTTCAACCAGCAGATTTATAACAATGGAATCATCGCATGATTTTTCATTATTTTATCATTCGAAATTCTGGTTCTCGGCGGTTATTTCCTGGATCGACTTACTACATAGATATATGCTCCCAATACTTTCTTTTACCTTCCTTTCGCTTATTTTCCTTCTTTTGAGCTTCAACAAAAAATTTATTCAAACCCAAAAGTGAAGGTGGTCACCCGTACCAGCTCAAAAGTGAAGGTAGGCGGAGACTCGGCTCCGACTATCGCACCTCTGCGTACGAGCATACGGGCCTTAAAAGAAACTGCTGTGAGTGGTCGAATTACGTACAGGGCTTACCAGTTGCAATGTCGGGTGTCACCAGCATCTCCACTCCAGCGCGAAATCCTGCACCTCTTCCACGAACATGCTCTCTTATCATGTGCAATCGAATGAGACTCCGGCTTTCCCACGCTCGCAATGGGAAAGTGATCAGAAAACATGCTTACGAAAGGGCTGCAGAATCCAGGAGAAGCGGCCGCGCGGGAGCCGAGATGGTGGTGCACCCGACACTGCAGTTGATAAGCCTTGTAACTGTGCGACCATATGAGACCACTCTTACTACAAAAGGTACACTTTTGTAACTTTCCATCGTCGCAACAATATCTGCATGTTATGTTCATCGAATGATTTTTACCGTTCTTTCGGAACAGCATAAAAGATATACATATTTATCAATTAACACACACAAAATCCACATATAGTACATTGTCCAGGGCTTTAAGTAAATGGTGTATATTGGTTGCAAATTTGTTTGTATTGAAGTCCATAGTGCAGTACTACTGAGCATCTCTTCTTGTGGTCTGTTTAGCATCGCGCCTAGATGAATCGGAATCTGCGTCTGAACCGCAAGATCGGGGCAATGTTTTGCGAGTCTTCAGTGTTGGTTTAAATGGCACTGCGTTGCATTTGTCATAAGTCGCTCGCTGGAAAGGATCAATCTCATAAAAATTTTGTGTAAGATGTAGTACATTGTAGGTAACTTACATAGTACTCATGCAATTCAGTAGGCTCTTTTATTGCTAACGACTTGAGTTCATCGGCACTAATTGGTTCCACCGCTTTCTTGCGTCCCTTTAGTGAAAGTGAATGAATTGAAAGCTCTAAAAAGAATAATTCTAGTAAAAATGTTGAAGCATCTTTGATTTCAAGTGGAGATACCGTTCAAGTTTACCATGCTGCGCACGGTATTTCCAAAAATCACGTCCTTAGTGTAGCATAAACTGTCCCTAGCAGCTAGGGCTGTCGTCTCTTCCATCGGATCAAGCACAATTCTGAAAGCCATGACACGTTATTTTTATCTCGCACTGGGATAATGATCTTGAATCTGTGCAACTTATTGCGGAGTTGCAGATGAAATTTATTCAATTCGAATGCTGACTGAGCAAACAGCCTCATACGTGCAAATAATTCGGTAATGGTTTTCGTAGAAAATGCTAACGTACTCGATATCTGGCATGGGTACCAGTTTCATGCGATTTTCTAAGACATCTATGAGCACAGCAGCATTCATCACAAGCTCCTCGTCCGTATCATCCTGCAATATTCCAGTTCTTTACTGATGAATTCTCTCAACAGCAGAGACGATTCAGGAGCCTTTTAAACGTTTTTAGAATACGGATCTCTTGCTTCACGAGCGAAGCGGACATAGCTTGTCGCAGCCCCGTGGTTGTATTCATCAACGAACCCAAGGGGTTCCGCCCAGTGTGTAAGTGAAAACAGTGCTTACGGGTCGGATTGATATAGGCCGTCCGCGCTGCGCACGGAGAGCAACGCTTTTGCGTACATTGGAGGCAGTTTACGACTGGAAGAAGCGCAGAGAAAAATAGGCGGCGAGAGTGCACGAAGAAAGAGGAGTGACGCGCAATACACACCTTGCGCACTCTCCGCGCCCTGCGCGGACGGCCTATATCTAGCACTGCTGAGTCCTCGAACTTTGTAAAAGCTTTGTAAAATCCGATCCCGTGATTAAGCTTACCCAGTGGGTCCACTGGTTTTATTGATGCATACGGCCACTAAAGCCCTTTTGATGGCAAGAAATCTTAATTATCAATGTCTGTAATTGAAGCAAAATCAGCTGCTTATAGAGTCTGTCCAGCTCGAGTTCTAGTGCGCAAAGTTTGCTTGCTCCAACAGTGCTGCCTGAAGAAGTACTTTCTGAATACTTACCGGCGGAATGTCAGTGAACCAAAATGGCTGTCCTTTTACCATAATTAAGCCGTTATTGTCACTGTTTCCTTGCACCATCGGTAATCCGGTTTTCGGTAACGTGACACCACTCGGTTTGAATGCAATTTCTTCGGTCTCAGCTACCGGCAGCTGTTGAAACATATCAGCTTCTGGCACTAAAAAGGCTGCATCGATTTGTGGCACAAATTCTTCTTTGGTGCGTTGTGTTTTCCTCTTCTTCTTTTTCCTGTCATAGCGTGGGCGCGGATAAGGGATTTCGTCAACACTTCTGGGTTTCTGAATACAAAAAATTTGAGGTAAATGTAGTAATTTTCTTATCTTTTTACATCTGGTTCAGGTATCCTGGGTTTTCTATTCTTCACTTTTGTTGCTAATTCTATGATAGAGGTCTCTTTCATCGGTCTGCTTTTCAATCTTTTCTTGCGAGAAAATTCTGAATTGAAGCTTCGCTTTTTTAAGATTGTTGCGTAAAAATGTCTAACTTTTTGTAGTTGGCTGTTTCAGCTTTGACAGTTCTTTAGGAAGGCCCGGTGCTACATTTACAGTGTCAATTCTAAAGATCAAATTTTCGAGGAGAGAGATTTGAGCAGTAAGATTACCTCTTCGAAGGAGCTGCATGAGTTGAGCTTGCCGTTGACAGCCTTGGTAAACCCGAGGCCACGCTTATAGTATCGCTCCTTAAAAAATCTGAATTTTCAAGCAGAAAAGTTTGAGACAAAAACTACTTTTTCAAAAGAGTTGCATTAATTGAGTTTGCCGTCGACAGCCCCTTTGGTACTTTCGTCTCTCTGAAAAACCTGCTTCAAAACGATATTTTGCAAGATATTACAAACCTATCCTTTTGAGATTTCTTGTCTTTTGCAGTTCTGAAATAATTTTTAAACTGCACATGAAAGCAACATTAAGTTAAACCAGTTTTGATAGCTGGTTTTTACTCGTAATCAATTGCGACTCTTCTCAAAATTCGCTTTCAGTCATTCATGAGAAATTCGCGTTGATGCACCTGTCGCAGTCTCAAACGAGCTCCAAACCATAACTCGCAAGCACGGCTCGGCACAGGTGGCTTGTAAGCCAGCTAGTATCGTTTTTTGGGACGAAAAGCAAAGGGGGTTTCGTTTTTGTGACCGAAGAGACACGGAAAATTGGCGACGGCGACCTTTTTTTTAGTCGACGTTTCGTTTTTTGGGGGATTTTGGGGAATTTTTCAGGTTTTTAGAGAAAATTTGGTTGAGGGTCAAAGGGGACTTCGTAAAAATTCCCAAAAGTCAAGGGGGACTTCGTTTTTTCCATTTTCATCTAGCCACCTCGTGCCGAGCCCTGCTCGCAAGGCACTCACAAACACTGGGTAGAGGAAAGTATGCGCTTTTCCCAAACCGGCACAAACACTTTCAGCAGTCTGCTGACCAAAGTCAAAAAATGCAGAAGAAATATGAATGAAAGCAGTATAATGGATAGCGGCTTACTGTTCAAGGTAGCGCTTCGGCAGATCTGGACAAGTTTTTTTTCTCGCAACTGGATAGGAGCTTTTAAACTAACATATTATCTGCTGCCGCAAAAACGATGTCCTGTCTAGAAGCCTCTCATCAGTTTCTAAATGAGAAGTCCATATGCCGATGCTTAGACACTGCCTTTAGTTGGTACTTTTGGTAAAGAAAGAATTCGGCGTTTTCAGTAACCCTTCTGGGCCTGCGTCGAACGCTCTACATTGTCGAAGAGGTTACTGAATGCGTGCGAGCCTACTACAGTGCTTTGCGGGGGCCAGCCGATTACCAAGCCACTGCTTTTATCCTCCCAGGTTACTCCGGTACCAATTTACCCCAAGGGTAGAAGGCTTGCTTAGTTCATTGAGCGGAGTGTCGAACCTTGGTTTGACGTGATCATAGCGGCGCCTCATACCACTACGCCACTCATTTCCCCTTTCTTCCTTATAAAACCATGAAACATGCACCAACTTTATATGCGTTTCTCGTGTCTCAGCTCTACCAGTGTTAGCTTGTATCACTATCGACAACAAAACATCATGAGTAATGCAACGTTTCAGACTTCGAAGGAGGAGACGCCGAAAGGTGATCCACTAAACCTCCCCTTTGGTCAGGCTAAACAGCTGACGTTAGAGCATACAAGTTGTCCTATTTTCTTCTCCTGAGGTATTAGGGCTATTAAAGCCTGTGCAACTGCTAAATACGCTTTTCCGCAAAGCCTGCACCGTGCAGTAGCGCAGCTTGTTGAAGACCGACCAAATCCAAAATTGATTATGCAGTCGGTAGAAAATTGATGCACGTAATAGGATAATGTCTACTTGAGGGTCCGCAGCTGCTCACAACGTAGTGTTAGGATGCTTAAGCTTGTGGACATTACTACAAAGAACCTTGCGCCCCCAAAATTCAGATACAATGCATTCCGGAGGTCAAAACTAGAATCATGCCTCTGAAACATGACATGCCAAGCGACAAAATTTACTTACGGTGACTGTGCCGCTATCTGCTTCAGTCTGAAACCGCTATGAATCACATTTTGAGACCATTACATTACGCAACTCACCCCTTTCTTTCTTCTACATATTCTTCAGCCGTCTTTGGTTCACGCTCAGACACTGGTGTGAGTGCTAGCACTGGTGTAAGAGCTTTGAACTCTTCTTGGTCCAATTTAGCAGTTGCAGTCTTTTTCACCACTTTCTCCTTTTCCTTCTTACTTTCTTTCTTCTTCTTCGAAGGCTGAATAAGATGCTGGCGTTTCACACGGTCGCCAGAATATCGACAGCAAACCTTCTCGACCATAATGTAGAAAAATGAGTCACACCTAATGCCCTTGCTTATATAGATTTGCTTATCTGTGGAGAAATTCATCTCATCACTGCCTCACATATAGCGAGGTTTTTTTCACTGAGAAGGGGAGGAGGGAAGCGCAACTTGGAGAATAGCTTGATTTTCTGAAGCTTTAAATTTCTCATGCTCCCTCCATTTACTTGAACATGGTCTATTCGGTCTAGTTCAAGCTCCGTGCGTCGTTTGTAAATGATTCGAATGCCCTCCTTGACGTTCTACTTCTGCTTGGATTGGACTACAGATGTATCCAAGACTAGATTATCATTTGTGGAATTTACATAGTTGATTTTTGTCAACCTGTTTTTGGTGCACCTAGAGTACATAATCAAAATAAGAATAATATTGCTATAAGATGATGACTCTAAAGAAAGACGATCAGCCGCTGGTAGTTACCGGAGATCATACGACTAAAAACGCGGCTAACAAGGCAATATATTCGTTTAAAAAGACAAAGGATCATAACTTATAATAACGGGCTAAGGTTGTTTACGTGTTTTTGTGTGTGTGTATGTGTGTGTATGTCTGTGTGTCTGTCTGTAACGAAATTCGTAGAGCGAGTTCCAGCCAACGTCCTGAGCCGAAATTTTGCACATCACATGCGATCAACATAAGAGCCTACCGTGCAAACGCACGAATGGTTTTGTTGGTTGGATCCCTCAGAAACTGCGCGTCAAACGGAACCACTTGGGTTCTGGCCAGCAAAATTGGTTCCTATTACCACTTTTTGCAAAATCGGGGATGTGTTTGGCATGCTGATGTGCAAGCCATGGACTTTAGTCCAAAAAAGTGGACAAAAGTTCACTACTCTAGGAGAACGACGCCAAAAAGAAATGTTTGCGTAAATGATTGATTTGCCATGGTTTTACCTGAGCATTCGAGAAAAATTTTGCATAGAGATGTAGCTCACGTTGCCTACTATTCCTTATGGTAGCTACCAAGCCAGAAAGAGTCCAAAAACCTATTCAAATTCGTATTTGTTCTTCTGCAAAAAGTTTCATCCACGCGAAATCACCGATCTCACATGAAAAAGCATTTTGAATGGGTAGTTGTTTACATTTTACTCGCGATGATCGGCACTGCGTGGTGAGTTTCATTGCCATCATTAGTCAAGAATGAGTAAGGCATATGAAGTAAGATCAGTGCGAGCCTCTGCGAAGCAGAGGTGACGCACTGGTAATAGATATACTTGGGGATGGTTAGCATCAGCTCATCATTTCAAAGCTTCAGGAAATCAACCTTTTTTCCAAATTGCGCCTCTCTCCTCCCTCCTCGGTGGGAAAGAAACCTTGCTATCTCATGGACTAATCAGATAAAAAGTTCCTCATACCTTTCACAAGTTCCTCAAGTCCTGCCTTTTGATGTTATGTTTGAATATTTTGGAAAGACTGAAATCATCGACCTTCATAATTGCTGATGGGATTCCTCAGATTGTCTACAAAAGTACAACTCAGTTAGCAATACCTGTTTTAATACTTGTCAACATGTCTTTGAGCATGGTAAATACCCAGAGTATGGAAACACGGAAGAGTGGTACCAGTTCCTAAATTCCAAAATCCACAAAAAGCCTTGGAGTTTCGGCCTATAAGCATTAACTTTGTGGTCTGCAAAGTTGCTAAGAAGATTGTGAGAAGAAAACCGCTGACGCTCTGCGTGCAAAAGCATCTCATACTACTTGAACAGTTGAGTTTATGGAGGGTCCTACACTGCTCTTCAACTGATTACTAGTGATTTTCACTGGAAGAGCTTTGACACAAAATCGTTTAACTGATGTTTTTTAATTTGACTTCTCCAAGGCTTTTGACAGAGTAGACATCCACAAACTAATTGAGAAACTATCAACTGCAATTCGTAGAGGTATGCTAAAATGAATGACGTCTTATCTAACTGATAGAAAACACTTTCAGTACGCGTCAACTCAGACATCTCTTCTATATTCTCAGCAACCAGCGGAGCACACAGGGTGGTGTCTTATTCCTTATGCTTTTTCATATCTACAGAAGGATTTATCCGGCCTTTTATAAGTTGATTGGAGAATCAAAGTTATGGCATATGCAGATGATATAAAAGTGTTTGGTTCATACTCTGATGAGGACAAAGTCGAAGTGACTGATGCCTTGAGTGCTTGCCTTCAGAAAATTTTATCGTGGGCAGATTTGAACTGCATCAATGTCAACTTGCGTAAAAGTGTGTGCTTGACCATCACTAAAAGGCAGGTGCAAGAGAACAAACTCAAAGGATACACTCATTCTAGCATTTCTCTGGCTAGGCCCGTGCTTGTGAGAGATTTTGGAATATTGATGGATCATAAGCTCCTGTTAAGATCTCTTGAGAATGTTTCACGTGCAGCCTTAGGCCCTGGACAAACTTCACTCAATTTGATCGTCGCGATTGAATCGCGACGAGACAACTCAACATCATTCCATGCCGATCAACTTGCATTTCGGTTGTGATACCTTTCCAGCCCGAATTTTTTAATGTGAAATGAAATTGAATGGAAATGTCGCGATTGAGTCGCGACGATCAAATCGCGAAGTCTGTCAGGGGCCTTACACAGAGTACTCCTTTTATTACGGAACTTGAAGCATGTAGACTTGCGAGTATATATCAAGATGTATACGGTATGTTCTCCCTTTATTAGAGTACCAGTGCTTCACCTCTGCTTCGCAGAGGTTCGCACTGGCTTTACTGTCTAGGCTCTACTCATTCTCGCATAATGATAACATTGAAACTCACCAAGCAATGCCGAGTATCACGAACGAAATATAAACAACTACTCATTCTGAAAGCATCTCATGTGAATGGGTCATTTCGCGTGGATGAAACTTTTTGCAGGAGAAAAACGCAAATTTTATATGTTTTTGATTTTCCCATGGTCTTGACAGTTGCCATAAGAAGAGTAGTCACCGTGAGCTAAATTTTTGTGCAAAAATCTCCTCAAATGCTCTGGTGAAACCTTGGCAAATTGATCATTTACGCAACCAATACTGTTTGGCGCCGTTTTTGTAAAGCAATGGGCTTTTGATCACTTTTTTAGACCTAAGTTCATGGCTTGCACATTGATTGCCATAAACATCCACCACTCTGCAAAAAGTGGAATTGCGGACCCAGTTTCATGGGCCAAATGCAAAGTGGATCCGTTTGACGCGCAATTTCTAAGAGACTCACACAACGAGTCTGCTTGTGCTTTTGCATGTTGAATTTTAATGCCAGTAGCAGGTGCTATGCAAAATTTGAGCTCAGGACGTTGGCTGGAACACGTTCTACGAATTTCGTGACAGATAGACATTCAGACAGACACACACAAAAGCACTTAAACACTCTTAGCGCGTTATTATAGTAAATGCTTGCCAAGTCTGGAATCCTCACTTGAAAAAAGACATTCTGACCGTGGAGAAAGTCCAAATGGTTTTCACTCGTGTTCTGTATTACAGATTTTTTCCAAGCGAGGATTACCCGTATACCCTTCCCTCCTCTAGATAAGGTTGGACCATTGAAGTTACATAGCTTGCTTTATCGAAGGATTTTGGCTGACTTAGTACTTGCCTTCCAAATAATTCGCCTCGATACAAAAATTGTTCCTAGTAAATTCTGGGTTTGGAGACCGTGCAACGGCCAAACAGGTGGGTTTAGCTTCCATTGCATTGACTCTACTGCTCCAAATACACTCTTCTACGACTGTTTTTCGCACGCACTTCTCGATGGTAACAAAAACTTCCCGACTCAGTTCTCTCTGCTCTTAATTCAACTACTTTCCGAAAAAAACCTTCTTGAATATGACTTTTGAGATTGCTGGGAATAGATGAATCCGAGTATTTTGAGATGAAGTTTCTCTTTATGTTCTTTGCTTTTTTTACATTTTAAATTCCACTCTTGGCTCTGCCTCCTTTTTTTCAGAGTCTTGACTTGCTCAGGCTAACGCTGGCTATTCTCTTCACTGTTTTTTTTTCACTGCTCCTTGAACTTCATTTGGGAAGTTGATCGCCTTTTTAACTCAGTTATGTTGTCTCGTCTGTTTTGATTTCAGAGATCCTTGCATGGCTGCCTGCACAATTCAGTCCATACAGCTTTGCTGAACTTCGGTCTACGTTCCCTTTGCCTAAATCGGCTATTACCGTTGTTCTGTTTCCAGTTTCTCGTTATATGGGTTATTGTCAGGATCAAGGGGCTGCAGTACCCTTGCCTGAAGGTGTAGCGGTGTTACGGTGTGTCAAAGATAATGATTAAATATGTTTATTACTAAAGATACAAAAAGACAAAAGAGGTAGGGGGAGGGGAAGGGGTGAGTGTGAGTGTGAGTCCCTGAAGGTCCCCAGTCCTCTCGTATATGCAGGTCCGTCTTACAACGATAATAGCGGTTAGAGCGGGGTAAGACATTGCATAACAAGTGAAAGTGATGACTCAGTACATTGCATAACAAGTGATGTGACTCAATATTACCCAATGTTATGCAACCTGATGAAATGATCTCATGACATCTCCGCTCCTACAGAAAGCTCGTCCTCGAGCGTCTTAATAGGCTGGTTGAAATACTGATGATGGTTGTCGTTGAGCTAGCGGTTTGAACGTAGTGAAGGGGGGATTAGGTGAGCTGTTGGCGCAGCTACGACCTCTTCCTCTCCTTCGGGTGGTGTAGATAGCTCGTCCTCGAGCTGGAAAGAAGGATGGTTGGTTAAAATACTGATGATGGTCAGTGTGAGGACTGTCGTTGTTGTAAGTTCGAGAAGATGGGATGGCGTGTTTGTAGGGGGATGGGTGGCGTTTTAAGTGTGGGGTGACATTGGAAATTATTGTGCGAATTATATGTTAACATTAAAATCAGGCTGAGCACTGTAATGTAAAAGTGCAGCGAAAATGTAGTAGCTAATAGGGGTTTTGCTTGGTACAATAAAAAAATGTGTATAGCATAATATTACAAGCGGCGTTATGCTACATTTGATTATGAAGGGGCTAGT